TGGTCATCGCTACATCACGCAATACAGCAAAGAAGAAAACGGCCCTGTGTCGCCGTGAACTGCCCATTCTCACGCAAATCACTCGAACATGTATATACACAGATACAGAGAAGTCAAACTTGATCAAGCCTTTAATGCTACACACGGTAAAACGTGACGCAGTAGATAGGCTTTGTAATGATCGGTGCAACAGTTGTCCATTGTGTACATGGCCTGTCTGCGAGTCAGGAGCGCTAAGCGTGTATGATACGCAGATTGCGCAGTACAGTAGGGGACTGGGAAGAGAATTGTTTGGGATCATTAAGAATCGAGTATAGAAGATTTTATTAGTAGTTTTAGGTCTGTTATAAAGCTGCCCACGAAGTTGCAAATTATTCATCAGTCATTTTATTCATTTTACTTTCGTCTTTATCGATTCTGTCAAGTACCGACAGCGTACGAGACCCCTTCGTGCAGCGACAACTAGAAAGAAAATTATGATGTCCATAGGTTTATTATGAAATTTCTTCAACTTTTTCACTTGTACAAATTCGAAAGTAATAATTAACTTAAAACATTAACGGATTTCTGCCAGCTTCATCTCTGAATGTAGATGTGTTGTAGATGGCTTTTCGCTGAAGGAGAGTGATGCAATTAGACGTAATAATGCTATATACAAAACAGAACTTTGGAACATTTACATCGAACTGACACAGCGGCAAATTTTCAACCATATCAACGTGATCGGACGGAAAAAGGGTAATGTTTCTTGTCGACGCTGTATGTATTTATTTGCAAGACAATATAATTGTAGCGCTGTCTAAAGATGGCCCTGAAAGTTTGTCTTCGCCCTTGTATATGATTTGTATTCTCGAGAAAGCTTCACATAACTTCCACGAACTTTTTAGATCGCTAGTACTTCTGTAGAGGTGAACTTATATCAAGGTTTCTTTTCAATTATTAGTCAGCCGGCAAAGTACCTCCGTGATCAGTTGGAAATTGGAAATTAGTATCTACCCTGGTCTAACCAATTAAGCTGAGAGTAGGAGGGGAGTGAGGAGTTTGATCATGTTCATAAGCTTTGATCAAAAGCCAAATTCTCCTAGCTTCCTTCAGATAATGATACAAAAAAAAAGTGAGGGGAATTTAGTTTTGTTCTTATAAAAGACGATTCAGAGGTGGTAGAAATAACAATTTAATTCCAAATGGAAATTGAATGATCGGCGAGAACATTGACGAACGAAAGAGCTAACCCGAAAAGATTAAATAAAAGATAGAAGTCGCCTAAAGTATTACATTCTATAAACTTAAAAAATTAATCTTCCTCCGAGAGCCAATTTTAGAGACTACAAATAAGAAACAGTTGTGTTGATCTATAGGCTTTTTATATTTCTTTTGCCAGATAACGTTAAGTAAATTTCCTGTCTCTTTTAAATACTAGGGACTTTGCGACTTAAACTCAATTAACACAAATGGGCCATAGTATGTTAGAGAGTCTCGGGGCCTGTGACGATTGTGGTCGCTGGTTGTGTGGTCTTCAAATAGGTAAAAAGTATCATACTCGTTGTAAAAGTAACCCTGAGAAATTAAACCTCATGGTTTGCCTTCTTTGAAAAAGTAGAGTAAAATAAAGGAGTTTTTATGTGCGCTGTTGCAGCGTGATGCTGGACAATAACATCTTCATGCGAAATAGGGACCAAACGTCTATTTATCAGTAATAATCGTGATTCTTACATGCAAGAAATATCACGGATTGATTGTTAACAGATGGGAATTTCAAGGCAACATAAGTCAAATTGTGGGAGAGGTAGCGGTCTGTATGATAAGGAATATGACTCCGACCCCTTGCGTAAACAGCCCTTTTTGTTTTCTGAATTTGAATTTAAATTGTCTCGGCTTTAACCATATGTGGCCTTTGGAAACTTTGGAGAAAACTCAGCAGAGTGAATAGGCATTACTCTTATTCAGAAGGTGGTACATACGATGGGAAGGAATGCTCTAACCTCGCAGACCATCCCTTTCTCTGTGAAGCACGTCTCATAATTACCCATGCCCACCTTCTTAATTTTTAAAGTCGACTCTCGTCACAGCGGACACTGGAACTGCCAGTTTGAACATCCATACGAATGGAAGGTGATAAAGATGTCCCTGTATCAGTTACAACGAAAAATGCCACTCACTTTTGCTTGCAAACATGGTTATGCAGTATGGGTTGAAATTAGTACAAATGTGACCCTCAAATGTCAACACGAATTAATCACGTGACATGTCCGTTAGTCTGAAGAAGGAAAAATAAAAAGTCCGTAATTCCCGTGATTCAGAAGGGGCGCGGATCGGTGCAGCTTACAGCCGCGTTTTGGCGCGAAATCTACGACGTAGGTGGCAACACGTAACAGAGACAAACACACCGAGAAACTCCAGCTTCATACACAAGGCTTAAAAAAAATCCTGAGAGGAAATTCAGCTCTCTTCAAGAAGGCGGTTCAAATATATGTTGATTGCTTTTGAGGTTGCGGCGAAGAGACGAGAAAGTTCAGTGTTTCGACTCAATCAGCGAGCAAGCGCGCGATATACGGATTGAGGCATAAAAACGTGGCCACACTTATTCGCTGGACTTCTAGGCAGTCGTTGCGGAACGGAAGGTAAAAAGTGAGGAACATTTTCGAAAACATGTAACAGGAGTGAGAAGCAGATTAGGTAAGAATAGAAAAAATTGTTTGTCTTTAATATGCCTTTAAAATTGAGTTGCACCTTGATTTGTCAATACGTATCAAATTTTACAAAGCATGTAATTACGTGCATCGCTGAAACTTCGGTAAAGGGGTTAGCAACACTAGCAAAAATCTTAAATTCCGAAAATTATGAAATATAATCGCAAGATACCTACCAAAGTATCTGCATACTTGCATATTTCACCCATTTATAGAGTAATTTAAAATTGCTGAGCTTCGATGAATAGTTTGCTAAACATAACCCTGTCCTGCCCTTGCCTTTGTTAGTTATCTCTTTATTCTTTGGGTTTCGGAGAAGTGGAAACCCATCACAGTAAACAAGAAAGGATATTTACGTCAAAGAAACCACTTTGAGCAGGTATCTAATCTCTCAATATCGCCTTTATGATAAAAGATAGCACGATAAATTCTTTCAAGATATTTACAAAAGTTGGTTGTAGGATCATCAAAGTGTTTGAATTAGATCAACAGGATCGATCCTGTAGTCAGTGCAGAAGGGAAACAATCATAGCTCAGGAAGGAGGGGCACTATTTTTTCAAAGTCACATATGCTCCACGGGTATCACAGAATTACTTAGAAAAAATTTGGAAAGGGAATGTTTCACCCTTTTGCTCAGTTCTGTCTTCTATAATAACATATTAAAAGAAAATGATTCTTGCCGAGACCCGGGATTGATGATGGTTTAGACTCTCTCAACCGAGCTATATCAGCAACTAATAAACGCGGTAGTTAGAGAAAAAGAAAAGGTGAGGGGCATATCAAAAAAGAAAAGGTAACAAACAATAGAAAACAACAGTAAGAAAACGCATACATGTACTTGTTAAATTCTTTAACAACGAACATAGCTCTTTGCACAACCATTTCTTAATACAACACCAACTAAAAAACAACAATAACAGCATCAAATGAAAAATTGCGGGATTCGTCGATGTTGGATGTGGTCTGGTAAAGATCATGCGAGGTTAAATGGTCCTGGTAGAGATAAGATAAAGGTTTGGTACTCCTTTCGTTTAGTGGAAGTGCTTTATTCCCTTTCTTCTGAGAGAACTTAAAAAAAAAAAATTACTGAGCCTCTGTATTTTCTGTCTCATGAGAACGGAGCCTAGTTTTGTTTGTCTTTACAAGTTAACAGGAAAGGCTAACCAAGAATTATTGACTACACTGGAGGAAAGAGATTGACGTTTTCTCTTGATAAATCAAGTGGACGATAAAATTTCTGAATTTTTTGTTCGCAGGTTCCACCATGCGTGACCTTTGCTTGAGTGATAAAAGCTTCTTCATGTCTATTTTTCTTCATTAAATAATACATCCAAATTAACTTATTCACAAAGTTTTCGGAGAACTTAAGTCATAGACTCGGTGCTAAAAATTATAGCATTTGAACTGATCTGTCGACTTTGAAAGCGCCCTGTGAGGGGCTCCCCCACCTCCCCCCCCCTTCTTCACGCAACGGTTAAAGAGCCTAATGTTGCGTGATGGCTTGAAGGATCTTTAAGGTAAACCAAGTGAAAGTCACGATCGGCAAACGACCTGCCCATTCTAAGAATCTCGTAAACGTAGCCTCCTTTGAACTTACATTTACTCTTTATGTCAACACCAAGGTTCTTCTGTCATAGGTGCACAAAAGATTAATAAATGCCATAATCCTAGTCGTGTTTATCACCCAGGGAACACGGGATTTAATAGTCCGGCTATACAACACATGCTCTATACTGACAAGAGTTTTGTGCATTGCGGGATTCTTTCTCTCCAGTTAAAAAACAAACACATGCTGAATAGATTTCCCCAGTTCTCACGCCAACTTGAAAGCCAATCATTTACGTTTATGTCGCGAAATTTTGAAAACGGACGCAAAATTGTCTTCTTGGTGTATGTACCAAGAGGTTTTACAATTATTTTCAACAATATTCCAATCGGCGACCTCCTTAACTTTGCATGGGAACATTAAAGAACCGGCGCACATGTTCAAAATTGTCTTATTAACTTCTGAAGAATAGCGGCAGTCAACCATTTTTTGTATCCCTCTAGTAAACAAAGAGTCCATTACGTGAATAAATGTTTCTCTGTGTTTCATTTAGATCTTCGATCTAGCTGTAATAAAAAGGGATTAACGTGTGTCGTTTTCGTCCTATCTACATAGTGAAATTTCTTTTGACCCTAGTCCAAGAGGGTCGGATGGACACACGTCCAAGGTTTTCCACTCTTTTTATTATTCTACACCAGCCAAGTTCTTTCATTCTTTTTTGTTTCTTAACAAAAAAATGCGCGCCAACTTTAGCAGGCATAAATCACTTCATCATTTGTATATTTCATTAGATCAGGAAACGTCTAAAGTTGATATTTACAAATACTTTTCAATAAACTTTCGTCCACTGCTCACGCTAACAGTTCCTTTCAAAGGAAGGATAACTCTCCTAGGGATTGAAAGGGTGTTTTCTACAGTTTCCTTTTTCCCAAAATTGATTTTTGAGTAGTAACCTAACTATAAAACGTTACTTTATCTTTTTTTTTCTCAGTAATTTTTTTGACATTCACAACTGTTGTGACTTGATCTTCTTAAGTGTCCTAATTATTTGCTTTTTAAAGATGAAAGACAGGGCCCGCCAGCACAGATAAAGGAAAGTGTTTTTAATTTTGTTCTTCTTTTGCAGATTTGCTCGACTGATAATTTTTTTTATCTGATACAAAACTGTAACTTTACTTTTGCCAATTTCCCAACGTCTCCCTCGACTTCCGTAAAATTAGCGCTATCATGTCTAAGTTACACTAGTATCTGTTTCCACATTTATAATTAGTTACAGTAAATGATTGTAGAAGGTTGAGTTACGAATTCTCTCTTATTGTATCTTTTAGTTTCTAACTTCAAAATAATTTTGGGAAATTTTTACGTGTTCATTTGTTGGTGTTTCCTGGTCCGTTCTCTTCCAGTGCTGGCTCTTTTTTGTCTGTTTTCTTGACCGCGGTCGAGCTATCAGGTTTTTCCGCTTTCTGCGCTTTCTTTTTCCATTTCATCCTTCTGTTTTGGAACCAAGTTTTCACTTGCGCTTCGTTCAAGCAAAGAATATGCGAAAGCTTTGCTCGATTTGTTGAATCCAAGTATCTCTGCTCTGAAAAGGTTTTCTCCAGGACACGCAGTTGCAGATCCGTAAAAACGGTACGTGATTTTCGACATCTTTTGCCGCTTGGAGTTCGTAGATTCGGTTTTACGCGGAAGTAAACGGGAATAGGGTGGTGCATTATCTCTGAACTGGTAGAAGGTTCTAGGAAAAAACAACGAAAGTTCATCATAGGGAAGCGAATTCTTCAAATGTGCAGGGCTCTATGGAGGGATATCTTTTATGGCTAATAAAAGCCTCCAAGAGTCATTTAAGAGCTTATTTAACTATTTCAGAAATTTAGGTAAGCTTTTCAATGGCCTCCAAACTAGGTTATACATGTTAAAGCATCTCTAATCAGTCTATTTTGTCGTTCAAAATATTGCGGCGTATTACTGAAAAAATTCATTGCGTATGGTTATAAAAACTTAGTGTCAAATGAACGAAAGCTTTTAATAGCATATTTATTTCCTTTTTAACCCGAAAACAAAATGATCATTTGAAACTCCCTTTCGTCAGTTTCTCTTTTTGGTGCCCTCAGGAACTGATTCAAAAATAGTTTTTCACTGCGTCGTGAGAAAGACATTTCTTCCTCTTACTCTTTATGGATTCTAAGAATACATAAGGAAGAAGAAAATACTTTCCTGAACTGTCACGGAAAATTCAGTTAAAACATTGTAGAGTTCAAGCTTCGCTGTAACTTGCGTACTGGTTGCTGACAGCATCTTACTCGCTAAGTAAGACCAGGCGTCAGAACATTAATTAAATGTCTAAGGATATGATTAACATGGCATCATCATCAACCATTATTTCCTAGTTTTCCTCAGTAGCCCGTGCCTCTCGTGACAAAATCGAAATTTAACGAGCTCTTGATAAACCACAAATAAACTAAAGGCTGAGCGCAAACGACTCTTAAGTCGTAACGGAGTTAGCATTTGACGGGGAAAAAAGCCAAGAAGTTCTTAATTGTCTGTCAAACAATTCTAGAAATCATTAATGAGGTGTATTTCAACGAAGCTTACCAGAGATGTTAAGCTTAGCAGAGGAAGTCTGAGGTATCAGTGTTCTTTGGTCTGATCCGAAGTTAAAAGGCAGTTGAGATCCGTGGACGTTTGAGCTAAATGTCTCTGCTGCAGATTGACTGTAGGCTGTGGATTGTTTGGCCATGAAGCAAGGCTGTGAAGGGTTGCAAATTCTGCTCTCTTCCATGAAGTGAGAACTATAATGAGGTGGAGGTGGCAGCAGAAGCTGATTATTCTGTACGTATTGCGGTGTTTGATACATGGCCGCAAGGAAGGAATCTTGGTACCTGAACATCTCGAAGTTTAACTTTGATGTGGTTCCGTGGAGCTTTTACGTTGAAAGTAACTGCTATCGTTGGCAAATGAATATCTTTATTGTTAAGAGCCTTAGAAAATGCCATGAACGACACCTTTGTGTTGATTGACGGGTTGAAAAGTATCTCGTTCAAATAAAACGCCGTTTTGACGTTTATTAAAGGCATTTAGCATCAACTAGCCTCATGTCATATGTAATTATGAAACGGAGCTAAAGTTGTCTTTTCATTGACATTATAAAAGTGCCGCTGAGTTCAAGGTCAGATCATAAAGGTTTTTATTATACTACTTTACATTACCACCCAAATTAATTGTGGTCGTTATTCAATTAGTGTTTATTATAAACTCGGAAGGAGTGTCAATTAGAATCCATTATCACAAGATAATCGAAGGTAGAATTCAATTAGAACTTAAAACAATGGAATCACGAGGAAAAACATTTCTTTGAGGGCGTAGGTTGGTACCAAGATCTAATAATGAAGCCAAGAAACCGAAAGAACTGCAAAAATGCATTCTACACGTTGAGTAAACATCTGGTGGGTATTTCAAATCTTTTCAACGACAAAGCAAGCACACTCAATACATGCTTGAATTAATATTCCATACGGACCAACTTTTGTAGAAACTCAGAGTAGAGAGATCTCGTGAACGATGAAAACAACAAAGTGTAGGGTGTTACTCTTTGTAACAAAGTGTGATGGCGATTGAAAACATTTTTGGCGAAAAATTAATTCGGTGATGTTGATTTACTTTACGCAGATGTTTTGTGCAGTTAAAGAGCGCGCAAGATCAAATAAACCCTTCACGACCTTTTTCAATATTCATGAAGTTTTTACAGCTACGGAGACGTTGCCTAAAAGGTTCTTTATCAGAGGTGTTCGTACTTTGTCAAATGTGCCGATAAATCATTGCGGCTAGTTTTTCCTGAATCGCACGTGGCACTCATACTTCTCAGTTCTTCTCAGTCTGCTGAAGTGTATTTCAGCAAATGTAGTTTGAAAGGCAAACACCAGTTCAGTAGTGCTTGGTCAAAAGAACATGTTTTAAAAAATCTTTGGCTGAATGGATTTCAAAGTCGATACGTTGATCGTATCTTACAGTAGTTTCAAAATACAGAGCAGCTGACATGAAATCTTTTCCGTAATCCACCTTGTTACAATAAAAGATATTATCGTTATAACTCTGTGAAAAAGAATCAGAGCTCAGTAACATTATAATTATTGATTTGTGATATATCAATGAAATAATATCGTTGTGTTCTGTTGTCAACCACATTAAAGAATTACTACGCAACATTATTGGGAGATGGTGCTACATGTCTACTTGAAATTGAAAAAGAAAATGGCTTGTCGTCATTTTCCCGGTCTGATCAGTTTAAGTGACTTTCTGAGAGATAATACAACATCATTGCTTTAAGTTGTGTTTGTTAAAACCTTCAGTTAAAGATGACTTTTTTACCATAAAATTTTGAGTAGTATTTGACTTAGTGTCGATCAACGAAAGTCAAAACACTTTACAAAAGAAAGGCAAGATGAAAAACTATTTGCCAACTTCGTAGATTAAATACATTTCTGTCTGAATAAATGAAATCACACAACGTGCAAAGTTTTAAAGAAGCTCCTTTCTCTTTAGCAATAGCTATGTTCATCATTTCTGTTTCCATGTGGTTTTTTGTTTTACATACATTGTACACGCAAGTTATATACTCCTTTGTTTCCTAGCAGCCTTTAGTAGCTCAGCCGGTGAAGTTCATTTCAGGCAGACCTCACGCAACGAGAGATCGATATGTCGTTAATAGTACTTTAGTAGCACATGATGTCTTTATTTTCCGCGCGCTCACGTTTTCTTTAACCGCAGACAAGATAAGGAGGCGGAAAGTGTGGAAACAATTCGTGGGCCAAGGGCGAAGTCATCTATCGATTTCATTGATTTCACAAAGGAAGTTTACTTATGAACTATCAATGTCATTTGCCAATAGTCACCTCCTCGAAATGAAGAAAAAAAAACACCAATTTATCGACAGTAGGTTGAGTTAGCACTCACTGAACTGCCCCAGATAATTTTCATTTTTTCAACATTACTTTACGCCAGACTTTGCCATTGACATTTTTAAATATTTATCTCAAAGGACCAACTCAGAGCTCAAAGAAAACAAAATATCTCCTTACTTTAACAACAGTCAACAGCGACGGGATAATTCCCCTATTGTTGAACTATGCCTGCGAATGTTCTTACGGGATTAAATCAAGCCTTTGTGTTGAAAACCTCCTGTAAACGGTCTTGACGTACTCCACCTACGCCTTATTACATGCCAAGAGTAATTAGGGAAAGAATGTAAAATAGTGTAAAGACCAGTTAGAGAAGTGATTTGAAAGAAAAGAGAACTGGCTCCCGGTCTAAAGAATAACGTGGCTGCGCACATGCGAAGGGGAAACGTTTCTGTCCTCTGAGATTTCTGTGACAGGTATTTACTAATAACATTCCGGGTTAACTATTCTTAATAAATAAAAAAACGAACCTTTTCAGAGTGCGAAGAATCACTGGGTGTTTTACGACAGATTGCTGATGTTGATTAGCAGGTGTATTTCCTCACATTATTATACCAAAACTTGAATGAACATATAGCATCAGCTTTTGTTCCCTTTGGTACCTAACTGAGTGTTATTAACCTCGTGCTGGTTGTTTGCACCCCAAAAAAACGCGCTTTATGGGAAGAAAACCTGAATGTTTCTGGAAATTCGATTATAGATCATAGAACCGAAGTGTAGACTTACGTTATTTTCTCAAGGCGAACTAATTAGAGGTAACTCTCTGTGGTGAACTCGAAATGAATCAACAGCTAAAAATATATATTCCCTTTCAGCTAATATTTGTTTTTTACATTTTGGTTTGGATAGCCTCTTGAGGCGCAAATATGTCTGCATTTTGCAGTTATTTCAGGTTCCTCGTAACAAAACAGGAAGTCACGACTGATGGTTTAAAAAAAGGACGTGATTTTTCTTGTTAATGTGGGCGGGACGGGAAAGAAATAGGATTTGTTCCTTTCCACGTATACTGCATATCAGTCTACAAATCGGGGAAAATTTTGAAAGGAACCAAAAATAGCCAAGTATTATTTGCCAGGGTCCGAAAACTATCGAGACCTCTTTGATAAGGGCAAGTTCCATTGATTTTCGACATACGTAGCAGTACATCCTTTTTAATCCTAGACGATCAATTCTGAAAGTCTTGTTACTGAATCAAACGCGACTTAATCTTAGAACTTTAAAAAGTTCAAACATCCAGGGCTCCTTCTATAGGTAAGATCTCGCGCGTTTCTGGTGTGAAATAGTTATGGTATGTGCACTTTGAACCTGCTGTAATTTGTTATCATTTATCTCCACTGTACAGTAACTTTAATCTAAACTGGAGTTTCAGTTTTCATGAGACGAATCTCAAATTATATGTAGAATTGTATGCTTCGGTCCAATTGAATTAAGGTATCACTGAGGGTTGAACAGCACGTCGCAAAATCACATCTACACTCTGGTAGAGAACCCCCTCCCCCCTTAGACAAAAATAAAACCGACTGTGACATCATCAAACCTTGAGACTGTGGTAATTGCAGAGTAGAAGCATTTTCACAACTTATACCTATCATTACAAGGAAGTGTTGTTTGTGCATAATAAAGGATTAGTCCATTAAAGTGCATCAGTCGGAACACAAACAGACTACAATATATAATAATTGCTTTTTGGGCGGCTGTGGTATCAATTCAGTCAAAACTTGATGTTTTATTTACAGTTCGTGGGGGCTTTGGTGTTAGTGACTTCTCTGAAGTCTAATTTGAATTGAGATAAGCGTTAATTCTCACAGATTATGATTAGAAACTTTTTAGATAAGAAGTAAAAAATTTATCAAGCGTGGTCAAAACATGCGAAGAAAATTTAGTCCTATCCTTACTGTTTGCTCCAGATTTTATAACAAATCTGCAAAATAAAAAAAACAGGGAATTCATGGTAATGAAAAAATAATCCTTTTTGCGGCAGGGTTTAAATTGATTGGTTGAAAATAATTAAATCCTCGATTATATTGAAAAAAAGGATTACAAGGGCTAAAGACAACTGAGAATGCATGGTCGAACTTGTATTTGCAACTTCTCGTGCCTTCGAACAGAACTGCTCAATTGATTTAGAACTCTTGTCATATCATCGTCAATAAAAAAAAATTTTGAAATAATTCTCATCCTGCTAGTGCGACATATTTGCGTGAGATGAGTGGTGCATAGCTATGGACTGAGCACCGGTATACTGAAACAGGAAAAACACTGTAATCGGTAAAGAAAAATTCCAATGAAAAATATTTCCTGGAGCCAGATACACAATCCTCTTACTAAGCGCCGAAAACTTAAACTCAGCTAAGATACTACCCAGTTAGGCCAAGAATTAGTGAGATTTCGTTCAAGCGCAAAGGGCTACCGAATATCCATAGCCGTATTTTTGTAATAAAACGCGGGAAAATGTTCAAAATTCTTGCTTTCTTATTGGTCTTTGGGAGGCACTTAATTTATTTAATTGGCTCAATCATGTGTTATCTTTTTATTGAGCCAGTCATTGGGTTTCCAAGATCCAAAAGGCAAAACAGACGGTACTAAAAAAAACAACAACAACAACAACAAAAACATATCTGGGGAAAATATTACTCCTCCGATTGTTCCCTTCTTTGTAATGTTGCCTGATTACGCTCAAATTGAACGAGTCCTTATCCATGATTAGACACCAACAGACGCCACAGCCCCGCCATTAACCAATACAGAAATAACAGTGATTAAGCTATAACCAGACAGAAAACTTGATCCTCGATTATCAAAACTAAATCGCTTATTTATAAGACTCAGAATCCTATGTTTTGCAAACGACTGTTTTTCAAGGAGGCATGTAATTTCCTTTCCTCTTTTCCAGAAATTTAATTTAACCGGAAAGTGGTGTCATTTTATAGACGGTCACTCAGAAACGGTTGAACAACATGTAATCATTGTAGCAGCGCCAAAATTATTACCATAACGTTTGAACCAAAATATCAACAAAGGCTGGGCAAATCTCGACTGATAGTCTTATGATTTTTTTAAAATCATTCCTTTGGATTTGATCGAGTTTGAAACCTCAAAATGAATAAAAGATTTGTCTTCGAAGCCAAACAAAGAACTACGTTCACTGTTCGATAATATATCATTCTTGTCCGGTTGCTTCTACCAAATTGACCCGGATATGTACATGATAAATTTGTTCAAAGCTTTAAACGAAATGTACTTGACAAATGGAAAATTTGAAAATAGACGTACTGTCGCTCTTCTGTCAGCCAGTACACCGGAGAGGGTGGGAAACCCATTTTCAGACTAAAAAATTTCGGGTCTATTTGACTATCTCTTTACGAAGGAAAAGGAAATTCCCACAATTTGATGTATACTCGAAATCTCTCTTACTCGTGGTATATTTTAAATTTACAGTCAGCTTTTAAGTTAAACTTGCATGTTTCTTGAAGAGATTGCGATTCAACCAACCATAACCACTTCGTTCATTCAAAGACGGCAATCGACCTGTCCCTTTTATCATCGTGAAATTAAAGGTGAATTCGTAAAAGCTTACTATTATTGTCATTTTATGACAAATGACTATAATTGTCTTCCTGAGAGTAGAATAGGCAGCAATTAGTGCCTTTTTTCACCATTAACGCATCGTGGCTGTCAGTCATACTACCGCCTCTCATCAAAGGAACATTTCTAATGAAAAGCTTCGCGGCCAAGATGCTCTTCACCGCTCTTAAATAAATCCCACTCTACAACAATATGCTCACAAGCTTCTCTAATCTCTGTATTGACCTCGCTGAAGTCAAAATTGAAACAGTCAAGATCGGAATACCTGTTTCCCATGTCTTAATATTATTTCATTGAGAATTAAGAGAAAAGACAAGCGGCGGACGCGAAATAGAATAGAACCATGCAAAATTTTTACACCGGGACAAGGTATTATTTACATCAGTTAGTTACAAGTACATTCAAAATAAACTGTCCATGCTATACATGTAAGTTCCTGGTTTTGGAAAATTATATTTCTGCGTGAGCAGCTACCTTGACTTTCTTCCGTGGTTTTTAATTTTGATAAATTCATAGTTATGAGTTTCGGTATGAAACATATTAAATTCCAATATCATAGTTGTCCGTCTTGACTCTAATAGAATTGAAATTGATATTTCTCGCGGATATTTACAAAGTTTAATTCCAAGTTTTGTCTTTGCTGTTCATTCTACCTTTTTGTCCATGGAGGCTTTTCCGGTCTCTGTGACGATTTCATCGGATTTTTCGTCTCCTGGTGCATTTGAGTCTTCGTTTCTACTTGTTGAGGATTCCTGGTTATTTGCTGGAACTGATTCCTTCTTCCACTTCATCCTTCTGTTTTGAAACCATGTCTTTACTTGCGTCTCGTTCAATCCCAACGTTTGCGCAAGCTTTGCGCGGTTCGACGTGTCTAAATACTTTTGCTCCGCGAACGTTTTCTCTAAAACACGGAGCTGCAGATCTGTGAAAACCGTGCGCGACTTGCGACATCTTCGTCCACTCGGTGTCCGCAAAGTTGGCTTTACGCGGAAGTACACTGGCAGTTGGCTTAAAACTTCAGGACTTGGATCTGTAAAAGAGCGAAGAATTACCACGTCAACAGACGAAGGGACAATTCAGGCTCAATAAAGAATACTAAATGCTTGAAAAGTGTTGACACAGAATTAAAAGCAGCCAAAATTTCAAGGGTTGCTTTGCTACAACAAAAGAAAGCAGCCAATGATCGATGATTGAAGTGCTTGAAAGCTCTGTTCGATTTACATCTTTTGGCAGATATGCTTCCTTGCATAGGTTCTCGAGGCATAAGGTCCTTGAGGAGTTGTAGTCATGAGAGGAAACTACAAAGGGTTACGCTATTGTTAAAGGATTTTAAAGCCGTTCTTACTTTTTTGTTATAATACAGAAAACAAGCAAATTATACTGTAACATTATACTCAGAACAGGTGAACCAAAGCCGTTTGCTCAAGATACAAAGAATCATGTTAGTGGCGAACACAACATGATTGAATTCAAGGTTTTTCGCAGTTTGCAGAGAGTTTGTCCGTCTTTAAAATTTCCTTTAATTTCTGACAAATACCAAACTAGTCATTCCACACCTTAAAAGAAAAAAATCCCAAATTTTCCAGATCATTTTACGGCTCGAAAGCATCTTATTTCAAGTCAACAAAGACAATTTTTTGTTGTTGTTTCAATGATTCTGTTTTACTTTTATTATATTACTCAGTGAATGGAAATAGTGCTGATAACCTGAATCTAAAGGTCTTAAATCCTGAGCGCATTTTTTCGCTTTGATTAAAAATCTATGATTAGTTTCGACAAGTTTTGGTATATCCGTTTCTTCATTTCAAACGGTTTAATTTCAGGCACATTTTCGGTGTCAACTAAACTTGGGATTTTGTCGACCGATAAGGTTTTACAGCGACATTTTCTTTGTCATTTTTTTTTCTTTATATTTGATTTAATGCAAGTGCCTGAATTCGAAACACTAGATTTCCCGTGTTATCAAGTTCCTTTTTTACCATGTGGTATTAAAAAATTCACCAAAAAAATCGAGGATTTTCCCTTTAATCTTAATTACGTTTTTTGTGTGTGTGTTCACTGCCGCTTCATTAGATTATCTTAATAACGATTCAATAGAGATGTTATGTCTATGAAAGCTAGTTTTACTGAGGGGACACGCAATGGTTTAAGCCGTTTCTTTTCCAGAAACACACGTCCACTGGATAATTGAAGTAAGTTCCCAAACTCTTTGAGCTCTGTTCAAATTCCTACGATTACATTTACAGGATAGCTTTCTGTTTTGTCAATTGAAAACCTTTCTTTCGAAATCGCAGCTGACAATCTGAAAATGTCTCTCTCACTGACACCAATAAGAATTGTTTCCCGCCAATTCTGATTTAATTTTTCACCGGGGATGCAATTCATTCTAAAACGCCATTGAATAAGGACAAACAAATGAGTTACCAATCTTTTACAACTAAAGAAGGTTGTTTCAGGCGTAGTTCAGCTAATTTTAACTTTTGACAAGAAAGACATTGAGAGAAGTTCCGTGTGACAAAAACAGTACAGAATGCTTAATTAGCAAACACATTTGATAGCTTTGTAGCTCACGAAGAAAATGGAGTATTCTTTGACTCCGTCGAGCCAACTGTGCATAGCATTGATCAGTTAGCACATTATCGTGCCTGAATATAAAACTGCAATGTTGGAGGTTGAACAGTGGGATTTTGAGGTAGGTGGGTTCGCAGAGTAGTTTTAGTGTGCAAAATGGGGCATAAAGTTAGTCAACCCACCTTGAAACATTGGAACTTCCTCTCGCTGCCTTTGTGTGAGAATCGAGTGCATACCAAATTTTAACGGGTTGTTGTTTGGAACAGAAGATCTAGGCTCCTGAAAACTTGGCTGTTTAGGGACAAGGAAAGGTTGACGTGGGACCAAAATGTCGTCGATCCTGAAAGAAGAACGGCTTGGCGCATTTCTTGCACTCGAACTACCGTGACAAAATGGCGGTTGTTGGTAGAGCAGGAAAGGGTCTTGGTAAAACATGATGTTGGTGTTTCCTTTAGGTGAGTGCTTCTGCCTTCGCAGATGTGCGGATTGCTTGAAATGTCTTCGAAGCAGATGGCTAACTTATTTGTGTTCTTTGTTACGGCTACAGTACGTCGATTAGCTGATTGACAGTTGCAGGGCTTCTCTTGTTTGAATACGCATTCAGAGCTTATTAAGTTGATACCAAAAGCTTTACAAGCAGGCGTCAACCAGAAAAGCTCAAAGCAAACGTCGTTAAAGTGATACAACTGAGTGCACAAATGTACGAGAGCTAATTCCCTTGTATCAGTCCCTCCTTGGGCAGCTAAATTAACGGTGATCATTACACAATTAGTTTATATCATTACTCGAAAGGGTGTCAATTAGTAATCATTATCTTAAGATAATCGAAGGTGGAATTCAATTAACTATTAAAACACAAAATACAGAAAAGTCAAGATAAGTCATTTCCTTTGTCGGCGCGTGTATTCTCCGCCTAGGGAAGATAAAAGGGAAATTGACAAATGGTTTTAGCAGTCCGGATAAATGGCCGAAAACCATTAGCTATTGTTAAACGCCATTAAATATGTACAAGTAATTTGGCTTTTTTTCGGCGAGGAAAACAATAGTATGAAAGTGGTGCAGTGTTTTGGGCTGAAGACAAAAGCTATAAGGATCGATTTAAATATAATAATATGGACCAATTCACTCCTGATTTCAAGTTTGACACAAACAAATTGATTTTGTTACTCAACACAATGCAAGCCTTTTATAAGAACAGTGAGTTGGCGGTTACTTATTTCATATTTATGTATTGTGGATAGACTCATTCACATATCAAATAATGCCGCTTCGATGTATTTATCTAAGGAACATTAAGTAATTGTCAGTCAATTGGCACTTGTGAGTCTACGGTTAGCTTTCCGCTTCGACAATCCACGGACCCAAGCATCGAAGCATACACTCCTACTGTCCATTAGCATGATTTCGTTTTTTTTAAAGTGAATAAGATTAATCAAATTGTCCCTTAGGCCATTAAACAAGTATGAGTCGATCAAAATGTGTGGTCTGCCTAGCAAAACTCATTAATTGCCGTTCTATAAATCGCTTAAAGTAATTTCAGTGATAAAAACCACAACTGTAAAACAAATCCGGTCCATTAAAAAGAATCTAGACGGTTATTTTTCCTTTGAGGTTTCACGCCATATGTGTTTGCAAACTGACCCGACGGTGGATTCCGTCGAAAAACCGACAAAATGAAGCTTCGTCATCGACAGAAGTGCACACACGTTCGCTATCAACACACCGGTAGGTTGTTGGTCAAAAGCGCTCTGTTTCAGCAATGTACATTTGCAGATTCTTTGGATGGTAATTTGAAAAGTAATTTGCGCAAGTTAGCTCGGGAGCCTCGCTAATGTGGCAGCTGGTTTTTGGTCGGATCTAATTTCACTCCGCTTAAAAGTAAGCGCGAAACAAAAGGAAACAAAATGGATTCGCTAGTTTAAGTGGCGCTAGAAGTTTTGTTTGTTCATTATCCTCTTCAATACATGAAACGCGTTCCCGCGTTATTGGCTTGCTTCATACATTTCCTCCTCTTGGGTTATCTAACCTGAAACAATCGACCACCCAGGAGACAACTGTATCTTTAATAAGAAAACACCGTTTATTTGGATCTCCCTGTTTTGGTTTTAAAGTGTTATTTCAATTGTTTGCACCATAATAAATCTTCGCAGGTAGATCCGGCGCCTTGCAGCCCCTTATCTTTCTCGATAATTCCATCAATAAAACAATCTTGTAGATTTTCACTCCATTATAGTTTTGACCCACTTAGTAATGGTCCCAATTTTGGCCTTTCACGAAACTTTTCTGAGCTCATCAAGCTCATGATTACTTAATTTCTTAATGGTTTCGAAATAACTTAAGCAAGCAAGGTATTATTTTCCGCGCGTCGCCTTTATGCCAATACGTAAGCCGCTTATTTCCCAATCATGGACTGGCTGATAAAGTTTGGTTGAACAAATCCAAATTTTAAGAATACAATAATTCAAAATTGCTTTTCGTAAGGGGAAACTGCGAAAGTCTTTTTTGAGGGAGTTTGAATTGTTTCAGCTCCGTAGTTATTTTGATAAATTGACATTGCGGAAGAGCATGTTCCATGTTAGCAAACACATTTACGCCTTCGCTCCCACCACAAAACGACTAATGTATCTTTTATCCTGCTCTTCATCTCGAGAAGAAAGTGTTTACTCAGAAAGCAACGCCAAGTGGCTTTGCGCCAAATTGGTTCTTGGATTTGAAAAGATTCACCATTCAGATTTTTCATATCTCGAAAGCAGATCGAGTGCATGTAAATTTTGTGGGCGGTATTTAGTTTTTGGGAGGTTTTTCATGGTCCAACTTGCGCTTTTTGAAAGTGCTCTAACATCTACAAAGGTAGTCTGGCTTGATACATATGTAAATACCATTTAGGAATTTTGCCATTTCCTGAAGAAAGTCTTAAGCTTTTATGGACACGTGCAGTCAATTACTAAATAGGTTTAATTAATCTAAGCAAACTGCGATTAAGGAACACCTCTCTACAGGGTTACTCTTTGATGGGATAAAAGCTATTTGCTCTCAAAGATTCGGCCTACGTGCACATTATTTGGAGTTAAAAATGAAGCAATTAGCGAGAGGCCAACTTTAAAAAAAAACATGAAGCAACTACGCTTCAGAAACTATGGAGTGATAAAGCGATTTACCGCATTACACGGCTGTGCGCTAATTTTTCCATTGTATTGTTTTAAGGCATAAACCTAGCTTGGAATTAACGAAATTAATCCATCCAAAGACCATATTCATTTTTCTAATCATAGTTGTCTTAAAGTTGAAGCTCTTCGTTTTATCGAAGATGGGCGGAAACCAGTCCTTAATTTTGCACTTATGTTGAAGACACAATAGGCAGCTTTGTTTGCTAAAGAAAAAAACAACTTTTTCCCAGCCACCAACTTTGCTAAGTTCACTCCCTAAATAAAGAGACAGTGTCTGATTTGAGAGTATTTGAGCACGATTGAAAAGAGAGGAACCACAAGTGTTTTTCTGGGTGCGCAATGGTTTTCTTCCGAAGAAGATTTATCAGAAAACTTCAAATTATACATAAAACTTATTCAAAAATAAAAACTCAAATATTGGCCATGATGATGCTGTGCGGTACAATCCTTTTCGCACTCGAATATTAAGGAGAAGTAACTTGGGGATCAAACATCCTACTTCACTTACTGAGTCCATTATCTCACGGTAATCGAGCGAATTCAAAGTTTCGCTGACGTTAAATTGAAGAAATGCGCGTTTTCCCTTCAAGCTTTTAACAGGAAGGCCAGGCGACGAGAAAATGAATTTTCCCCTTTAATTTAGTTTGCGTTTAGCTTGCGTTACACTGAGGCTCAGTGATACACATCCAGGGTCATCCATTTTGCATTTACAGAGTCAGGTGACCACAAGATCTCAAAAACGTGTCCAGTTGTTTAGATCCCTTTTCAATTGATAGAAATTTCTTGACCAAGCTTCAATTGGACGCTTGGTGCCGAGATAGCTCAGTTGGGAGAGCGTTAGGCTGAAGATCTGAAGGTCCCTGGTACAAATTCGGAGGGCGCATATGAGCCCTGAACAGTCCCGGGTTTCGGCATTTCCCTTTTTAAAAAGATTTCATTTGTGTTTTGCTTTAATCTCTTGTTAAATTTTTCCAGTTGTGGTTTGAATTTTCAAAGAGTTTCTCTCCTGTGTGATTGTCAATTCATAATATAATAACAAGCAAGTTAAAGAAATGTTCACAAAGGCTTTGGGTAAACCAGGTAAGTATTTTGACTTGGTTATTTTACTCTAAATTCGATATTTCTTCTAGGTGTATTCCGCAAAAATAATCTTAAAAAAAAAGTAACAACCTTACTCATCATTTGCCAAGATGGCTCAGCTGGCAGAGATTCAGACTGAAAATCCGGCTCTCGGCACATGATTTTAGTCTATTCAGTCAATTTTTCGGAAGCAGTTTGTGTTGATTCAAGTCGTGAAACTTCATTTCTTTTACGCTGCTGTATATAACACTAGAGAAGTAAGTTGCAGAGGTTCACTCTGAGATAAATTCGCAGGCTCAATTCTGTTTTGTTGTTTCAGTAACAAACACTGCTATTACCGAGTGGATATTAAAGGTTGGTTGAATTACTGTCTCTTTTTACGCACAAATTGATATGAAACATTCCGGTAACACTTGTCTTCCCGATGTCCTTTCATTTTTTCATTCCGATTTGTTTTAAAAACTAGAGAGATGGCTCCATTTGTGACTGAAGACCTGAAGGTCCGTGATAATTCCTGTTTGGGCGAGAACTCTTAAAAATTACGGATTTTTAAAAGGTTTTAATTCATTTCATCACCAGTGCGCAGAGTTGTAGGATTGTTGATCGGCTTGAACTACGAGATCTAGGAGTGAGATAACTACGATACACTCCTTGATAATCGGCACAACCGTGTTATAGCAGTGTTTCATCGCTATGAGGATAAGAAGGGAATGACGGCAAAGAGAATGGGGAATGTTTTGAACGCAATCGATTTTAACACTCGGCTATTTTGCTGTGCATTCATCGTTTACTTGAAAATCTAAGGAGGCAAAGTTTAACATTTACTACAAGACAACTGTAACCAATAACTGAACAAATGATCCAGCAACAAGCCTTAATTATCGCTTGTACCAATAGCTTTCTTGTCTTCCGCATTCACCATAATAACATTGAAGGGGTTGGCCTTCGCAGGTGGAAATCTCACAATCCACTGCAACAGAGCATGGTTGATTGATTAAGTCGCAGTCTTCGGTTCTCTTCGACTTCATGCTAGTGGCCTATAGAAATAAACAAGAATTTAGGAGAAGTGATTATAAGAAGAGTTTGCAAGTGTGAGCTAGAATCACCGGCAGCAAGTATCCGAAAAACCTCTCCCGAGTTACCTCATCAAAAGTTTCCTTCATGTCACTTTCTTTCCTCCATAGCTCACGAAGAAGGCTTTTGTAGGGCATGTCCTCTTCTAAACCTCCGCTGGCTGAAGAGATCGTGGTTACCAAGGCCGCGGCGAAAATGAGGATAACAGACGTTTTGGTATTCATTCTGTTTGGTGAAACAGAGAACATATCAAAACTAGTCTCCAAACGTTATTGTTCAACTTTGATTCAAACTTTATTTGCCATGCGTTACGCCATATTACGGCGTACTCATTTTAAAAGCTTTTGAAACCACATACTGTGAATCACAATCGTAAAAGCCTGCTGAGTGTCGGTATACAAACTAAGAAATAACTAATCAAGTAAAGGCATAAGTGTTGTTAACTTTGAGGTACAGAGGATTTCTTTGAATGAAGCACTTTTGAGCGCAGTTCAACACAGGGTCTTCTTTTTACTCACGATATTTATGGCAGTTAATGATTTAAAATTAGATAAAAATATCTATCATCCTCTTCCATATGTTCTCGTTTGATGTATTTAGCTTGCTCTTCTGATGTGGAAACTTCAAAATCATTCAAGTTTGGTGCATAGCCTATGAAAAGTAACTGATTTTGTGACTCCATCATCTCGCCTTACCTGGCTCTGGAAGGAGTTCCTTACCAAGGCAAACACTTCTATAGCTTAGACTTGCACAAGCAAGTGGAGTTAAATTTTCATCAAACGATCAATACAAAAAGCCTGAATTGAATAAAAGTAACACTTGACGGTGAGTGGGTAAAAAGGGGGCGTGCGACGGGGGAGTGGAGTGGGGTGGGGGAGGGGGGGGGGGCGGAAATCCGACACCAGCGTCGGTCTTGCCAGGTTGTTCTCATATTATAAGTCATCATCCTTTTCCGTTAAAAAGGGGGTCAAATGCACTGAAGCCTACCCAACCCTCCTTTAGCTACAGCCTTTGCTTATTAACGAATGGCAATTTGAAGCACGGGCCTCTCCAACTATGCCATCGAGACAAGGATTTTGTGATATAGGTATCAGTGAAATTAAGTAATGATATTGTTTTATGGATAAAACTTCAAAAGCGATTTAAACCTTATTCTTGAGGTATGACAGACGGAGAGGCTCCAATAAGGAGCACTATTATCCTTTATGTTGGACCACTTCGAAAACAGGCCACGTTCGACTCGAAGCTCTTAACCTTCCTAACAGCTTTTGCTGGAACTTCCCCCTCGTCATTTAGACTCGTGCTGTTATTACAATCCATGTTGAAATCAAACAAAAGCTAAAAATACCCTCTTACATTAGGATAGCCCATAAGATATTACCGATTAAATTACTGAATCATGTTATACATAGCCTTGCGAAAACGAAGCAAGATTTAAGATTTGAAATATCATGTCGCGCCTAAGTGTTCCTCATAAAGCTTTGGTCATTATAGCTTTAAAAAATTATCCTCAATTGAATTTTTTTTCAATATTGATTTAAGGAGAAACCACTTAAGTCTTCCAGCTTTTTGTTCAAGTTAAACCAACATTATTGAAGTTAATTGTAATAGGCGTAACTATTCATTAAGGTGAACTCCGAGGAGAAATTCAGTTACCAATTAGTATTACGGGCACTAAACTTCTTAACTTGATTGTCAGACTCATTGGTACTAAAGGAAACTCGATGTATAATCTGGTGATAAATTAAGTTGCATACGTGGCGAGCAAAAAAAGAGCTTAATTCTATACTGACAATGGGAGGGGCGCTTTTATCTTTTGGATAACAGAGAGTCATGAGCAGACATTTGTAGAGTCGAAATAGGATTTGAAAAATTATATTTTCTACAGGTGTAGAGGATGAAAATATGTACAAATTATGATTGAATTAAAGCGTTAGGTTTAGTGGAAATTTTTATACTACTTTGAGCTGATCTGTCCACGTTGAGCACGACATGAACTCAAGGTGAAAACACTGGCTGGAAGATTCTGCTTACTTGTTTCATTTTTCTTCGTACTAAATCATGCCTACGAATGTTGGCTTTTCAGCGCCTATTGATACAAACGTTTGAGGGACTGGGTATTATTACAATTTTGCTGATTTGCGTGCGAAGCTTTTTTTTTTAATAACTGGGAAACTGTATGAAAATGGAAAAGAATAGTGGTTAAAACTATGAGAAACTTTTTACTTTGGAAAACTCCACTTGAAATGTTTTTTATCATCAGTCATAACTTGATAAAGTACAAAAGTACGCCACATCCTAATTTTTGCTTGTTTTTATATAACATTTGTTGCACGTGTAAACATAATTACATTGCACGCCTGTATGCTTGCAGTTACTCGTTCATTATATCAATTTATTTTCGGACACAACTCAAGTTGAAGACTTTACTCTTTCCACCGCAGCGGATAAATCTCAGAATATTAATTGTAGAGACTTTTTACAGGAAAAACCATACACACCATACACATATTACACCCCACATATTACACACCATATTACCCTTAATTACAGACTGAACCGCTGGTACATACAATATTAAACATTATCAGATATTATCTTTTTCCTAGAATTGTTATATAAAGGTTAAAAATACCAAACATTCTCTGTTGTAAACCTGAAATTTCAGCCGAGAAAGTTAACAGAATGAACCTGAATTCGCCGCTTAACCAGAACGTGCGTAAACTTTCAACCTCTTTTCTAAGTGATATTTGAAACACAAAGCTTCGAATCTGCTTGGCAGGCGTGATGAAAATAAGTTAAATCACCCACAGAGTAGAGTGATCAAACCAGAACAGGAAAGAGCAAAACATTCTCTAAATGTGGATTATTCTTTTTACCAAGGAGGAACAGACGCAAACTCACCTTGTGGTCCTCCAATGTGATGTGTGAGTCATCTATATGGTCACTACTGCAATTATATACTGCTTCAGATAGTGCACGTGTTTCGTGGTTCAGGCAAACATGTCATGTGACTGGTTAGAATATTCTTGCTTTTTCTTATTGTTTAGATATCAACTAACGTAATTTTAATTTCCTTATCGTACCACTTCATTTTAAATACGAGGACTTCTTTTCCACAGACAAGTTTTGCCCTTTTTGTATTTCCGTTAATCGAGGAAGTAGTACAAACAAAGTCTAGGATATGGATTTTCGGACAATGATAAATTTTTTAATATTAAAAACATGTCCACATCCGCTCTAACACGAACATGAGAAACTTTTATTTTTTTCAGGTAAAATGTGCCAAAGCTCTTTTAGAGCATGGAGCGTCTATATGCAAGATATTATAAATTTTTTACAATCTCTTGCTATATATATGATAAACAACGAGTGCCGGAGTAACTTCACAAAGCCAACACGAAAGACGTACGAATGGTGCGGCAACTGAACTTGTACTTGTAATTTTAATCTCGGCCAGAGTTATGATACTTTGGTGACCACTGCCTCACTAATACGTAACAGTGTTGTGTCCCACCTACGCCATACAAATCAATCAGCGTTTTGTGTTATTCTCTGAAAAACAACATCGTAATTACTTTTTGTTTGTCTCCATAAAACGACAAAGAGCTCCTATCTACCTCCTTCCCCGTCATAAACGAGTCGAAACTTTCTCAGGAGAACTTCTTCCGTTCAGATGATTCGTTTTCAAAATCAGTAGTACTCGGAGGAAAACTCAATTTCAAGCCACATCTGGAAGAAAATATGAATCTGTTCTCTAAGTTACATCCCCAGTTTGAGTAGAATGAGGGAGTATGTGATGCCATTTTTTTTAGGTAAGGCAGGAAAATCTTAAGGCTGCATAATCGGAGCACTATTGCAAGGAGGTATGGGGGAAAAATCCACACATTTGGAAAAATATCTCTGTGCCGATGTAAATATTTTTTTTGTCCCACGATCATTGTTGCTGTATTGCGCGTTTGGATCCATTGTATACATATAAAATATTTAAAGTCAATAACTGGAAGGTATTACACGTAATAAAACTTTCGGTATAACTGAAATAGTAAGTCTACTAATATGTTAACACCAACTGCTATGAAAAGGAACTAATGATGTTTGAAGACAAATTGACTGAGGGCCCCAACAGGATGAATTAGTTTTATCCTGGGTTAGAATAGATTTGAATTAAAAATATAATTGTTAGCCCTTCACATTTCAATTCGAGATTCGTTGGCCAAAAGGATGACACTTCATTTTAATTTCTTTTTTACACACAGATAAATATGGCTTTGTAACCTTGATTTCTCTGATGGGCAAGTGACGGTCTTCCCAGTGATCTCTTTTTGTCATGCAATTCGTCGGTTTATTAGTTTTTAGCTCCTTTTCAGTAATTGGAAATTGAAACCCATTGCTTAAGCTGAAAGGTACTGAAAGGTTTAAATTGAAATCAGCATTTCATTTCCCGACCAATTCTATGCCATTGTTATGCCATTGTAAAATTGCAGCTGCTTTATTGGATTTGAAAATTTTTCTGTTTTTTTTTCTCGATGAATAACTTAAACGATGTTCAGGTTTCGTGCAGTGTGTAACCATTACTGGACTTAAACTGAACTAATAACGTCCTATTCTACTACAAAATAAACGTACCGCTGCAACAATAGAGTATTAGGATCAAATTTTTATTGAAGTCCTCTTAGAACAGGTGTCCGTTTAACTACCCTCAAAATTATTTCGAGACATTTTATAGATAGTTTATATCCCAGCACTGTTATACTGAGGCCGTCGCTCACAGTTCAAACTAAGTAAATTAAGTTCGAGTCAAGCGGAATCTGTAGGTTTGGCATAAAAAGTCTTTGGAAGTTCTACACCTGTCAATCAGTTTAAGCTTAAATTACAGTAATCTAACGATGAAAAATTTCAGTGAAAGTGCGAAAGAGGAAAGTTTTATTCAAGCGATGTTTTGCTCGCGATTTTTCTATGGGACACCCTCTTGGTCACTGGTGCAATACAGCTTTGCCGGCGCTCACCTTCTTCTTGCTCTTTCTGCTTTCGTGGGAAACATGATCATCCTAGTTGCGTTAAAGAAAGAATCTTCTTTCCACCCGCCAACTAAACTCCTCTATCGAGTCCTCGCATTCACCGACCTCATGGTAGGGATTGTAGTCATACCCATCAGTGTAACCCATTATTCATCAAAAGCTGTCGAAAACTGGAAACTCTGCTACTTGACAGGAATTGCAGGGTACGTTTTTGGTGTCATTTTATGCGGTGTGTCTTTGAGTGTCCTAACAGCAATCAGTGTGGACCGCCTTCTCGCGCTTACACTGCGTTTAAGATACAGACAAGTCGTGACTATCAAACGCGTCCAAATTTTCCTCTTAATTTCATGTGTTCAAAATATAATGAACAGCTTTCTGCCTTTGTGGAATGCTCGTGTTTTCGTTGTCATCTGCTGGGTATGTGTATTGCTGTGTTTAGCCACCTCAACATTTTGTTACCTAAAAATTTACTGGATGCTCAGAAAACCACATGTGCGAGTACAGGTGCGAGGCAATCTTCCCTGGGTTCAACAAAACAGAACTTTTCGAATGAGCATGGTGAAGTTTAAGAAGTCAGTTTCAGCCGTATTGTGGGTTCACGTGGTTTTGGTGGCGTGCTATACACCTTTTACAGTTCTTAATTTGCGCTTAAGCCTTTCTTCCGATATGAACGCTAACTCTACGTCAGTTATTGGAAAGTTCTTTTCCATCACTCTTGTTTACTTCAACTCTTCACTGAATCCCATCGTATATTGCTGGAGGGTCACAGAAGTAAGAGAGATTGTTAAAAACATGCTGACGAAGTTTTCTTGCATGTCAAGATAAGTACTCCGGGGAAGATCAAAGTGAAGAGGGTTGAATATATAAGGACACTTCTCAGACTGTCACATTGTTCCACAATTTGACTGAGAGAAGCAAAATAAAACTGTATATGTAAAATGAATAATAACTATGAATTTCTGAATTGATTTCTACAAGATTTAAGTCCCTTTATCTGAAAGCAATTCCTTTTGCTTAAATCAAATGAGATGATGTATTTAATATCCTGCTAAAAGCAGCTCAAGTGTTTGTAGTAATTGAATTATTTTTTTTCCCAAACAGCTATTGATTTTTCCTTTTCTTTACATTAATTTGACCCTTTTACATTTGACAGCTGATAGCAAAGCTATTTACTTTCATAAAAATAGCAGTTTTATCCTGTAATTGAAGTATTCATGAGCTTCTTTACGAGTAACAGGTGACGACTTCTTCCAATTTTGAAAGAGTTAACAGCTAGTGGCACCTCTCTGTTCCGCAATGGTTAGAGAAAAAATAAATTATAACTCTCCTCTTTAAGTTTTCATGGAATAGTAACTTCAAATTGGCAAGATAGTAGTTAGGTGTATTTTGAATTTTGACTTGAGATTGAATTGACCTTATGTCAGGTAAAGGTTACATTTCTGGTATCCCCTCAAAAAAAAAATGTAGGTCGAGTCGCTAGATCCCCTGGCTATACATTTTGCAATTTTTATGCAAATAGCGTCAAATTATGTCCAATATTCAAGGTTTTATAAATGAATACTGCACAGAGATCTACCTCTCAGTTTATCTCGGTTTCGACTGTACAGAGTTGTTTTTCAAATTTTCGGGAGATGTGAAGTACACTGCGAACTACTAAAAAAGCTATGAAGAAATATAAGTCGCTGACATGGCTAAGTCAGATTTTAAAATATACTTTAAAAAGTGACTTTTAACACAAATAGAACGTCCTAACTCAACCCCCCAAACAACGTGAAAAATTATTTCATAAGTTTGACCACCTTTTCTCTCAGTGACTTAAAGTGTTAAATTTTATTGTTGATTTGTCTACACATTCTTTCAGAACGTTTTCGCGCCTCCATGAGATAAAAACTGTGTACCTCTTTGTTCCAGGGTGGACATCAGAATTCTTTTAATCATTGATTTATGGAAGATTGTGGAAAAATCTCTCTTTATATAAGTTTTCAATTGCCAAAGTGAAAAAAAACAAAACAAAAAAATTAAAATAACGAAACGCTCTTAGTTGTGCCAAGGGTGTGTGACGCGTGACCCCCTAAGTGAATCGAGGGCGGTTACTAAGGGTCTCGTGACAGACATGCTTTGCCGCTCCTTGATCATCACGCTACAGCGGTTTCTTCGTCTTTCTTCCGTTTTTTTCAGGAAAGCGATTCGTATACTGATTTACTTTAGTGAAAACCGGTAACTGTATGACGGCTCTAATCACCCCTGTACGTGCAACAAGGTATTGTATGTGAAGTTACTTAGATTAGTTGTAATTCACTGATTTGAAAACAACAGAAAAACTAATTTAAATTGCAGTTTTGAGGGCCTCATATTCTTTGTTTACGATCGAGATGCCGTGAAAAAGGAAGCAGATCCACCAGAAAATGCAATCGTCTACTTCTATCCTCCATCGGTAATGTTTTTGGTTTCTGCTTTAGTTTTGACTTAAGACACCGTATGTTCTGATGTAAGTTCAAGACTTGTCTCAGATTGAGCCACGGTTCCAAATACATCCGCAGCCCACACCAGCAAGGGATTATTCAAGTTTAAACATGCTAACATCAGTTATTCTTCATTAAAGTCCGACAACCAGCTTGTTATTGTACTTATTTTTCTCTCACTGCTTCTTCCTTTCAAGCTGTTCGGGACTTGAGCTTAGCTTTGTGTCAATTACCTATGTCATATTTTCGTTATTTATTATTTTTTAATTTATGATAAATCAGAGAACACGTTATGCAGTCGCATAATGTTCCTGCATCCAACAAATAAGTTAGAGAACACGTTATGCAGTGGCATAATGTTCCTACATTGGCCCTCTAGATTAAAAGCTGTGAGTTTTGTTCTCAAATTTAGTGGCATTGTCCCTCTCCCCACCTGGGGTGTAGATGGGCATTGGGATCTTACCTTACCTCTTTACAGGTAATTTTCTTAAAATTGACTGCCAGAAAACTAGTTAAAAAGAACTGTGATGGTTAGCTTTGCTCCTAAGATGATTTATTTTCCTTTGAAAGGCATCTATTGAAGATCGAGTCTCAGTATGTGGACAACTTGTTGGAATGTCACAATTTGTTCATGGTTTTCTTAATGCCAGACCAGCCCTTTGTAAACTGCAGTCAGAGAAAGTGGCAACGGTTCATTCTGGCCAATACACCTTGGTAATAATCGCAGAGAATCTTTATTGATGTTTAACTCAATGTACTTGCATAGCATTGTACAACAATGTTTGTTCTAGATCTATGTATTCAGTAACATAGGTAACCAATGTGGTTTTTTATGCCTGTAATATGAATGGAATATTGATTTGGCTAGAGTCGTTGACTGGTTGGTGTACAAGCCTATCCCAGACCATTTTTCAGATATATGTTGTGTTTACCTTCCTCCAGACTTGGTGCTAGCAAATCACTTCACAACCCCTTTTTTGATTTCCTAGAAACTTTATCACTATTTATCATATGCTAGGTAGCCCTTGTAAGCAGGGAATTAAGATTTTAAAGTTAAATTTTTAGTCCATTGTCAGTAAATTCTTCAAAAACTATGAGTTTCTCTTTAAATTCAGTCTAAACTAATCTACTTTGGTTTCTGTACCCTATCCCAGACCTTACATACCTACAAACTAAATCACACTGATCAAACAAACTATAAGCAATCAAGAGTGAAGCTGATCCAAAGTGTATAGAAACTGAAAGGGAAATGAAACAAACTTTGTTTTCTAGCAATTTGTGTAAAAATGTCACCCTTTCACCCTTATAAACACGTAGTTACTATGCACACCTTTTAGTGCTATGTAGAAATTTTTGTTCTATTCTTTGGTTCAGTGTACACACATTTTTTTCTAGGCACTTGGAGGGAGCCTCAGTGAGCCTGACTCACTATTGATAACCCGACTACAGACACTTCACAGTACCTTCAACTTCTACCATGGCTCACTGGAGCGGATCAGAATGGTCAGTTGAAAACTACAAAATATGAATTTTAGTTATAGTGAAGGGTAATTTTCAATTGAGTGTTGAAATTAATCTACTATTGCAGTGGTTATATTTTCTGTATTCCATGATTGGTCAAAAGAGTCTAAAGAACTTACACCATCAATTCAACCACTCAGATGCAAAGCTTCCATAAAGGCAACTGTGACTTGTTTACATGTCTTTTCTGATGTTTGAGGGTTTGTTGTGTGTGGTTTTTGTTATTACTTTAATATTGATGTTGTGATACTCCATTTGAATGAACCGTTTTAGTATAAATTAACCACAATCAGTGACTATAAGGTCATATCCAAGTTGTGTTGAGGAATTTTTGTTGGGAGGACAAATTTGAAATGAAAATTGTAAGGATAATATGATGACTCATTCAATCGCTCAATCATTGATTTATCAATTTGCTGCACATATATTATGTAAATTTATCCCTGTGATTAAATGGGTGAGTGACAGAGGAACTGAATGCAGGAAGAAGGAAAGGAATGGAATAAAGGAGGGATCAATACCATAAACGTCCATGTATAAGCCGCACTTTTTTTCACAAAATTGAAGCCAAAAATCAAAGGTGCAGCTTATCCATGGATACATCTGTGTTTGGAGTTCTCAAAAACCTAATTCATATTCATAAAACTTCTAAAGATGCCAAGAGATAAATATAAAAGAAACTGAGAATGTGTTGCTGTAGTTCATTGACTTTTTCATTGAGTGGTGGCTCCTAAAGGAGCCATTTGTGTCTTGAGTGTTTATCGGCAAATCTTGCTCTCCAAGAGTTCTCTCAAGCAATTAATTTTCGCTTACTCAAACAACTAAACACCAACATACAAGGAATGTCTCATGGTACTTGGTAAAAAAAAAATGCTTCTTATTGATAGATATTTATAGACCAAAGCCAGTGAAATGGTATGTGAGACTGAATATACCAGTACACTGTGTATAAAAAGTGCTTGATCTTAGGTGGACCTTACTTCATATATGGTGTAAATTACTATCATATTATAGGATCAACATGGTAGAACTAATTTTATCTTCAATTTGGAATTTCAATATTTGTAATGAATTGATGTAATTTTTTGACTTTTTGCAGATGTGTGAAAGTCAAGAGATGTTCCTTTCTTGGATGAATATGATCTGGGACTGTTATTTACATTTTGTGCGTCATTATGGTGATTTCCTACCAGGAGTGTTTGATCCTTTACCATTTGTTGATCTGCCCAAAGTATGTGTTATCAAGTTTTATTGGGCTTTCATTGGTGTATTTTGGAAGTAACAGTATCATTTTAAAATGCTTAATTTAAGCTCCAGAAAAGTGTTAACACCCCAGTGTGTGCTATGGTTAGCAGCCCAGATGAAAGTCTTTAAGTCGCTTTCTTTGGTCATGGAATTTTTCTTCACCACAAATTTAGTGTTCACAATGTGTTATCTTATCCCACCTAATCATATTTTCACCTCACTGCATTTCATCCTCTTTCATCCCATTTTGTTTCAACCAATCCCATTCTATCTACTTCTATTTCATCTTAACCCATCCTTTCCCATTCATTTCTATTCCTCCTCATCTCATCTTTTTTCTCTCATTCAATCTCATTTTTTTGCCTATACATCTCTCTTTCCATATCATATCAATCCTCTCTCATCCTTTCTCCATCCTTTTCATCCCATCCTATCTCATTTAATCATCTGCCATGCAGTCGCTATGTATACCATCCCGTCCTATTTTGTTCCATCTCCTTTCTCTCCACCCATCCCATCCCATCCCATCCTATATTCTCCCTTGTGTTCAATCTCCTCTCATCTTTTCTCATCCAGTCTCCCATGTAGTCTCCCATCCCATTTCAGCCATACCCACCCATTTTATCTTACCCAGTCATGTTATTTCTGTTCTCATCCAGTGTCATCCCATCCTTTCATATTGCATTTCTTGTTGCCCATCCATTTTTTCCTGAGCTATCTACTGTTTTCAAGGCCCATATTTTTTCCAAAGTCCATCCCAGACCCTGTGTCACTCCATAGTCATTTGTACTAAGAAAATCCTTTCATTCATAGTTTAAAAACCCACACATCATTATTTATTTGTTAAACTGACTTCTTTTGTTGACAGAGAGTTGCAGCAACTTGTTTTACAAAGGCATCATACTTTCTCCAGGCATGCCAGCGCAGACAACATGTTCTTGGAGGGTGTATTCTCTACCGAAATAAGTAAGCACTCAAAATATTCAAACGTCTTATTAGCAAGAAGTACATCATCAACAGCATTATCAAACAGTACAAAGCCATTTGGCACAATAGCTATCAATTTGGATTCCCCACTGTAAATGATCCTTTGGTGTTGTCTACATAGCATTTAGGTCAGAACTTGTAGTCTGGCATTGAAAAATGAATATCTTATCACAGGTGGCCTTCGAATAGATGTCACACGAAAATTAAAAAAATTAGAAAATCCCAGTTTAGAAGAATTGTGTCTCAGTTGGGAAATCTGTTCAATTATTGTTTTGTTCTTATGTATTTTTTCAGGATATTGTGCACTCAGTTGGAGCCATCCATAACAGAGAGGCTTCTTCTTCTTAAACCTTATCAAAGTCATGTAAGTAATTGAGTACGAACATCTTCAAACACTGGAAACATAGTTTTAAATAAGACACACAGCAGCGCATTTTTGAGAGGTCTCCACTGAAGGTTTTGGACGTTTTCTCAGATATCTTCCCAATCGAAAAAAACGAAACGAAGAAGGAGAAACGTAACACTCTGCCCTAATGTTTATTACTTTCCCAAACATCATATGGTTTTAACTTCCTTTGCCATAGCTTAATTTATTTAAATCTTTTTTTGTGCACTTTTATTCATTATAATAATATTTTGTCCTTTCATTCTTTCATTATGTAATTTATTTAATTTATGAATATATTTATATCATAATTTGTTATAATTACTTTTTTTGGTACAGCATCCTTCAAGGCCTGTTAAAACTGGTAAGCTTCATTTTGTACCAATATGCTTAGAGCCAAAAAAAGGCGTCAGAACAGCCCCACAAGGCATTTTATTTTTCTGCTTACTTTGCTTTTGTTTTGACAACTAGCTCAGGGACCGTTGTTAACTACTTCTTGAGTAAGTGGTGGGAATGTTTTTCATTTGATGCTGAAGTTATCTTTTTCTCTAGAATGTGCTCTTCCGTTTGGCGTTCGCATCTTGAATGCGTTCCTCACTTTGTCTGAATACCTGAACCTTTACGAAGCTTTGGCCCAATCTGCTTATAGACAGCCGCCTTCGAGAGAATCGTCTGGGACATTTCCAGATGTATACACGACAGCCTCGTCGGCTGCTGTGAGGGATTTGTCCTACTGGCGGAAGAATAATGCAGATGATGGTGAGCACTTGAACGACGGCTTGACTCAACTCTCGTGTGACGTTCGTGCGAATTCAAACGGAGTACTAGATTTTGGATCTTCAGGAGGAGAAAGAAAATCTACCGTAAATTCTGCAAAAGATCCCACGTCTGTTACACCTCTCAATACAACAAAAAGCTCTAAGGGCAATTCCCGAGTGACGGATCATGAAGACTCCACGAACCAACTTCCTAAACACGAGTCAAGTGAAACGCTTGTGGCGCAGACGAACCCTGTGGGAGAGTCTGATGAATCTGCACCTGCGAACGAACAAGGTTGTGGCACTATTATGGTAACTACGGAAGAAAGCTGTAAAACTTCAAATGAAATAGAGAAGGAACACAAGAATGTGACCACCACCTCAGCTGACACAAGGGCTGGGGAAGGGAGTGCAGACTCTGATGGGGGGAAGGTAGAGGCTGAGTTCGGAGCGACAAGCTCCGACTCGGTATTTGACAGCAGTTCTATTGAAAGTTCGTTATCTGCCGATACTAGTGTTACTATGGAAACCGTTGACGTGGTTGGGTTAAAAGTCGTTGAAAATCCCAATCCTCGATGTGAGAAGCAACAGTATGGGGAAGAAAAGTGCACAGAGATGCCGTGTAATGTCTCGTCTGCGAGTGAAAAAGTAATTGACTGTTCCAGTTCACCGTGTTGTGGAAGGCAGCATCATGAAGAGGAAACAGACCAAGGTGCGCTCTGTAGTTCATCGTCTTCGTGTGAATCGAGTTTCTCTTCAATTAAGTCACTTTCCAATGACGAGGTAGATTTGTGTAAGTTAATTTTGGACGATCTCACAACGCAGGCTGTAGACATAGCTCATCAGAAAAATTCCCAGATGAAAGAGAATAGTAGTAAAAGCGTTACGGATCGTGTTGCGTGCTGTCAGTCGTGCGTTGCGTTGCAAAAATCTTGTGACGTGTCGTGTGGTAACTCTTTTTGTCAATCTGGACGTAAATGCTGTGAGGAAAAATGTAGCAAAACTCTCTCTAATGACAATTCCTGTTCTGTGGAGCAAACTTTGGGTAAGCACTCAGTCGCTAATCATCGAGATATTCTGGAAATAAATCTTCCCTCCTCTGACCATAGTGTCTGCAACGAAGACAATGACAGTAGGCCATCATATGCTCCAGATGTCGCTGAAAAGTCGGGTCCGACCGATTTAAACCTCAGCAAAGAAAACAGCTCGATAAGTGATTTAGTCAAGACCCCGATAATATGCGATTCGTCTCCAATTCGTAATCTTAACATAGGAGCTGAGAAATTTTTGGATAAGTCGTTCGCATGCTTGGATACCAGTACTGCTAAAGATACACGAGATTCGCGGGCCTGTGTGGAGAAAAATGCGTCTCAACATCCTAATTCAGTTAATAACGATGTGGTGTCGGACGGACCCACTGTGGCGTTCGAAGGAATTCATTCTGTACCACCCATCGACATAGTTGAACCTGATTCTGGGATTTATATTGCTAATGGCCTGGAGGGAACATACTTCGCTGATGGCACTGACTTGCCACCGATTGACTCTGCTCTTGAAGAGGTGGAAGATGAGGAATCGTCTGATTGGTTTGAACCGCCCTTGGGTGACGCGCCCTCCCCTACAGATAGGGAAAGGGAAGAGTTACTGCCGTACGAAGAAGGAGATGAAATGAATCAAGTGAGTGCTTTAGGATTTTTTTTTTCTCACCATTTTGCACTTCTTTTTATTTTTAAAATAACAAAATTACAACACACGAATGAGCATAAAATAACTTACAACATCCGAAGTGAAAAGTACTGAAAAACGACAAAGCGAAATAAACGAGGAAACTTACAAGACGGATGTGATCAAAAACCCAAAAGACATAAAAATGAAACCCGAAGCAACTAGACAATATGTTCCGCAAACTAGGAGAGACAACTAACGAAATAAATCACGCACGAACAGAATATATACAATATGCGAATAAATATAACAAGTACAAAACTGATAACTGATAAAGGAAACTAATGAAGACGAAAACTAAACACCTAACACGAAACTATGAGACAAAAATACATTCTTGCGCCTACAGTTTCCAAAGATTCATAAAGGACCCACTACTCAGATTCATTATAGGCGTGATTCTTTGGTCAACTATTAGATCGCATGATCGCATGATCGCATGATCGCATGATCGCGCGTTACTGACTAGCAGCTCATTTGAACGCGCATGTGTATTTATGTTCATTCGTCATCGACCCGTTCATGTCCTTGTGTACACATACACTCATTTATCGCTAATAAGCCCTTATGAGCGCGCGCGCGCACACGTCCGATTTTTTTTCGTCACTGACCAGCTCAAATCAACGCGCACCAATGCGCGCTTGCACTCGCATTCATTCCTCACCTACCCGTTTAAGTGTGTGCGCGCACCCGCACTCAGTAGTCACTTACCAGCTCTCAGGATCGCGTGGGCACACGATCATTAATTTACCTCTGGCCGGGTAACACCTCGCGTCTACATTCGTCTTTACCCGTCACTGATCAGTTCACCTCACAGCGTGTGCACCCGCATTTGCACGTTACTGAACAACTCTCGTGATCACGAGGGCACATGCTCATTCTATCGTCATTGACAGCTCACATATACGCGCGCGTGCATTGGCATTCACACGTCACTAACCGCTATACGTTAAAGTGCGTGCACCCGTATTCATTTATCACAAAGTAGTTCTCATAAACGCGTGCACACTAACGTCCTCAAAGGCGCTTCCAACTCTCAACCTGCGCACACACATTACGTTCTCGTAGAGAAAATTAGTTATTTACGCATACGATTTTAAATATTGGCCTGTTTCCAGATTTGCTGCGAGCCGTCCTAAGTTGTGTTTAGGGCAGCGTATCAAGGACATCAAGAAACTTTGGAAAGCTATTAGAGGATTGACCAAGAGGAATACACCATGTCTTAACGGTTTTCCATGCTTTGATTTGATAGGTTGAAGGCTTAACTCATGTCAACCTGTATGTACAAGCCCACTCTAAAGTTGTCCTCATTCTCCTGGCCGAGGAAGGTTTGAACAATGACTGTAATAGCATCAAGGCTTTGGTAAGGATGTAGATAAACCACACCATTCTATTTGTTTGTCGCCAAAGTCGTTGGAATCGCTGTGTTAATATAACTTAACCAGTACTTTGACTGTTTTACAGTGGGAAACATCACTGAATCAACTTGGTGAACTGGAGTTCTTGGTCAAAGAATCTTTGGGAGATGAATCAGTTCCTGTAAGTAAAGATCAAAACACACATAGTTCAAAACCGTAGATCTTAATTACTCGAGCCCTAAGGTGCACTTTTGTTTAATTACCTTTAAAGGTACTTAGACGCCAAAATGTAAGTTATTCTATGAATTTGGAATTAATTTTGCTCCTTGCAGCTTAGCTAAAAGTAAAAATCTATATATGCTGTCAAGGTAACAACCTCTACCTGATACGTTTGGGTATTCTCATTTGCTGTTTGCTGGATAATGTATGAATACTATAGGAAGAAGTTTTACGTTAATTACTTCTGGGAGGTAAAGGGTTATTGTAGAATTATGAAAAGACGTGGTTGAAGTTTCTAATGATGTGTCATTATATACAGGTACAGTCTGATGAATATAGTTTCCTTTTGTATGACAGCTTTGAGAGAAACATGAAAGGTAATGAACAGAAAACGTGTCACGGAAATGAGAAGCTGCACGTTTCTAATTCTATGCATGTTTATCGCTCGAGACATTTCAAGAACTGTATCACAACTCTTCAAAACGTACAGATCAAACTCGCATTGTAATCCTACCATTGTTGAACATCATAAATGAAATAGTTAACTTACAGATTGTAAAGAAGCCAAATCTTTACCACACCGTTTATTTGTCCCCAAATTCATTTACTCACAATTTAATCATTTTATATTTAGCAGTTTCTTCAATCTAAAATTATTTATCTGCACATAATGTAATGAACATTTTGACGTAGGGTTTCTAAGGGGCTATATACGTATGTTATTGTTCTGTATCATGTGTTTAGGCAACCTTGATGAGCTTGTGTATCAAGTGGACCATTCCTTCTGTGAGACGACCAAGCTTTTGCACGAGCAGTTTGAAAATTGTCCAACCCTGAAGGATGTTATACTCAGGTACTAGATCGACGTTACAGTGCACAACAGAACTTAATGTGTGCCTATTAGTCAATTTTGAAGACGGAAAAAGCAAGGTGGTGTCTCGCAGCACTTGTAATCATGCCCACATATCAAAGTTTTCCATAGTTTTAGCGCTATTAGAGAAAGCTACCCTTAAACCCCCAAGACCTGATAGGGAATTCTCTCCTCTGGCTGCCATTCAGTTACTAAATAGAAATTGTATTATTTTAAGATAACAAGAAGATAGGTTTGATAACTTTCATCTCCAATCAACCGTACTCGTGTTTTTGTATTGTAAGATATTAAGCTAATTACTTCCGAGAGCAGAAGGGTTTAAGCACTTCCTTGCCTCAGGTGGCCGCACCTTCTTCATAGAACCTCGAAAGGTACCCATAGCTTGTTCTTCTGCTTAAATTTCTGCCGGCTTTTGGTCGACAAGTGTGTGTAAGTTAGTGTAGAGTTGTAGTGTGTAGAGCTGGGTACCTTGTACCTGCGAAGGAAAAGGCGCCTTATCCTGACGAGAAAAGTTGACGTGTATATGTATGTATGTATGTATGTATATATATATATATATATATATATATATATTCTTAATTTGTTCCTCTCTAGGAATCGGTTGTCAACGATATATGGTAAACGTAACCTGGGACGAGGCACGTACTTTCATTTGAAGGGCTCAAACAGAAATGGGCATACAGTCCCGTTCCCTCGCGACCCGATCTGTCAAGTCGAAAGAAGGGCCTCGAAGATCCTTCACAAAGAGCATGGAGTGAACGTTTTCTAGAGGCGAGGATCTTTATTATGATTGGATTAATCGGTCAATTATCGATCAAGTCTTCAGTGTATCAGCTTTTTGGTCGCGTACCTCCAAGGGAAAACGCCTGGCTGAGAAAGGCAGGCTTTTGTTTGCCTTTCTTCCACCTGTTGTTTCTGTTACTTATAACAACGCATATTTCATTTAAACTGACGAAATGTTCGGATTGTCTTATCATTGATACTTTAAAAAACAAATGTTGTCAAATACTTTTTTTAGCTTGGAATTCGATTGAGGTATCTTCCGCAACAGGTGTCCGTAGACGTATCATGCCTCTAATTTCCGAATCTACTGCCATACTAGCTTACAACACCTTAATACAACCTCACTTTGATTACTGTAGCCTCGTTTGGGACGGCTTAAGTAGTAAATTGAGAAACAAACTACAACAATTACAGAGCCGAGCAGCTAGAGCAATTTTAAAAGCCGATTACGATACTAGTTCAAACCTGCTTCTCGAAATACTTAAACGGGACAGACTAGAAATAAGGAGGAAGAAACAAAACAGTATATTGGTAGTTTTAACCGATTTAATATTGTAAATAGATAGATTGGGACGCTTTGTTTGACCTGAAGATTTTTTACCGAGTTTAAATAAAGATACTACCTCTACTACTTGAAATTTTCAACTCTGTAACTCTTAGAGAGGGATTATTGGAGGCTGGAAATTTGTCTGGAATTACGCTGGCCCTGAATGAGCTCATCTATTTTACCGATACATGTATATCGATCTCTGGGTGAGAGTGAGCTAAATAAAACTTAGCTTTATTACTTTATCGACAAACCTAAGGATCACTTTCGTGGACCTTTTGGCCACAACAGATGAAATCGAAATGAAGGAAACAGGAATAATTTTTAATTAGGTAAGCTGATAAATAAACACGCACCAAAATATTTTGTGAACGAACTAATCAGGGAAAGAAATGTGGGCATGAGATTTTTATTGAATTTGTAATTATCTGAAAGGAATCAGTATGCAGTTTTCTTAGCTTTGTCCATTCGTCTCGTAGAATAATTCAGTTTGGACACAACATTCTCTATTATGATAACAGTGTAGGAAACATTTGTAACAAAACTCAGCAGAGAGTCAGTGAAAATTTGGGAAAAAAGTGTGTACGTCTTTTTAATGATCACATAATGCCATGATTGACCGTTTTAACTGAGGTACTCTTGATTTTACTGATTGACGCGATTAATATATCAGGATCTCGATAAACAGGGAAGAAAAAGAATCTATCATAGAGTGGTTCGCCAGAGGCGTCATATATTCATTACCTTAAGATCCTTGCCAACAATAAAGCTTAGGGCGATATTACAACATTCTTGCCCATCTCCGTCTGTTGCCAAGATCTAAAAGGTTTTAAAGCAGGACCCCTTCTCCCTTGTAACACTTGGGAATTCTTTTTTCAGGGTTACCTTTATCCAACGTCCTGAAAGCTGTTTTATTTCTTCAAATGATGTGTAATACAAGTTCTGTTTGGTAATTGCATGCCTGTTTAGAAAATACGTACGGAAAGCACAGATCTCTTCTTATTTTAGCAGTTATAACTTCTATTGACTAAGAGAGTTAGTTTTCAGCGACTCAAACAGCTTGAACTCATTGTATTGTTTAGAGGTCTCATTTTTTTCTTAGCATGATCAAGCATTTAAAATGTGCACGAAAGAATCTTTGTATCAGTTTTCCAACATCCTTATTCAAAGTACCTCACTCTCGATCCTTCGATCACTTGGTTCAGACGTTTTCGTGTGTTTTTCTTTTCGGCTCATTAACTTGTTAAGTGGCGCTGTTATTGATGCGTAACTCCCTCTTGACGACCGCAAATAAAGCGTGGGAGTCAAGGATTACCAATATTATCAGCGCAAACTCTAAACACAGGTATCTTGCGCCAAGAAAAATATTTTTTCGCTTGATTTTTACTTGGCTCATACAACAGCCTAACTGGGAAAAAGAGATTTTTTCATGATCTAAAGCGACACTTGAGTATTAGACTGTAATTTGTTTAGTGATATCACAGGCGGTCCAAGCTCACGTCTCGAGAAAAAGTCAGCGATTAATTTACGAAAGCGTCACGCGTTCTGTGAAAAGACGAAGACAGAGACAGTAATAACAGTGATGGAAAAGCAAGCTTAAAACGGCAGAAATCGCCGGAAACTACGACGGAAACACAAGATGTGAGTAAGTTATTGAATTTCAATGTTCATATTTCGAAATGTTTATTGTTGTAAATCAACCATATTACGTTCCCTATACTATTCCTTATAACTTCTTCAAATTTTCAACGGTTCTTCTCGTAACTGAACACCGAGTCACACAACGCGTGACGCTTTCATGAATCAATCGTTGGCTTTTTCTCGAGGCGTGAGCTTGGGCCGCCTGTGGTGATATCAGTAAAATTCTCACCCAGGTGCTGAATATACAATTTCATTGAAGGTACGGGATGAGTTAACTCTGGTCCTCAAAAGATCCCTATGCTTGACGGCATGTTAGATTCATTCAAATATCTTTAATTCTAATATGTTCCGTCCAAATGCTTATTTTGCCTGGTTACTCGTTCTTTCTGATTTCCTCGTTCAACATAGAAAAAGATACATCTTCCCGCATCACTAGAGATGATTAGCCTGAGTCATTGTTCTCCCCTGTATAAATTTCCATTATCAAGTAATTGTTTGTTGTTCATGGACCTCACATTTGACTTCTTCATTCATCATAGACTAACTACCCGCCCTCTCGTCAGTTAGATCCTTCGACATGGGCCACAGCGGAGATGATTTTACATTAGCACTGGAAAGTTCTCAACAAGTTGATCTCCGCTTCACGAATCACTCTCTTCGCTTAGAAGTTGCGGCGCATTTTGATGATGATGATGAACCATCAACTGAATTTGCCGACAAGTACCGTTATGAAGGAGAAACTGGAGAAAAATTAGGCGAGTAAGTGTACAATTTTTCGGTGAGATTTTGCCGCCATATAAATTAAACCCGCCGGCGAAAGGATCCTATCATCGCTGTGATAGGACTGGTGGTACAACCCTGTAGATTTTCATTTTATTCGTTGTTTTTTAAATGTTTAATTGGATTAATTCAATGATTCAAATGGACTGAATTTTCAGTCTGTGGGCGGATTCGCCAATATGAAGTTTCACTACGTCGGGTGTTGACTCTACAAAGTTGCACTTTGAAAGACAATAAATCCTCCGTCAGCACAAGTAGCGCAAAATTTTAATGACAACAATCGAATAATTTCAGCCGTCATCGGGTTCGCTTATTTCAGCTGTTATCAATCAAAGCTAAGCTGGTGGGCAAATCGAACAAACTTTGCATAGCCCAAAAGAAGGGGTTAAAGCTTTGGACTCACGGAAAACAGAAGAAAAAAAATTAAGATATACAAATTTATCGATTCCGTAGAAACACGTATTCATCAATTTTTTTATTATGAAACGAAATAATAATTGAGGTAACTTCAAATCAGCCTAAAAGAATGACTTCATACGCGATTACGACTCAATTATGCAATCAAAAAAAACTTATTAAGCGAAATTCCACGTCAGACTGATGGCAATCATGGCCAAAACCTTGTTTCTCTTGACATTAAGGGTGCACTAGAGGACTCAGTCGATCTTTGATTCCTCCTAGACATGGTTTGGACTGTTAACATTTAAAATTACTGCGATTTGTTGTCAATTTGCACTTGACTGCCTTTTACGCCCGCAAAAATACCGCTTCCTGCCAGGCATGGTAATTTCATTCCGTCAGTGCGAAATGCGTCAATGGAAAATGAGTCAGTGCAGTGACGCCTGGCGCGCCATGTTCATTCGTTTGTTTGCCTTAAATAATTGGCTAGATTATTATTTATATATTGGTCATATGACGTTGATATTCCTTCAGTTTTGTTAAGTGAGGCAGTGTCATGCTGCCAAGTTGATATTGTTTGTGTTTCCTAACGAAAGAGTGCGGACAAAACTTAATAGAAATAGGCTGAAAATAGCATCGTCGCCGGCAGCCATTAATTTTTTTTTCAGCTCATAGTTTGAGAACCACCTTCTACAACTAGAATGAACTGAATACTGGGTAGCCTGTGATTGGGCATCACCAATGCTGTATAAGAGTGCATACACGCAGCTGACGTGACAAAATAATAATATTCCTTGTTCGGTTCTACATGACGAACTTTGTCCCTTATGTTTTTGAAGAGTTTGAGAGATCATTTCCGATCTGAACAAACAAAGTCGATACTGACAAGAGCTCTTTATGAGCAAAAGAAACGAAGAAACCAAGACGAACATCGTTCTTGGTGACTTAGAACAGTAGAAACTACCTCTCTGACATGGGACAAATCATCGCTCTGTAGTGTGTTCTGTCCGTAATAACTTGAGGCATTGTTGGTTACTTTAAGTTCTAACCACACACTGACGTCATTGAGTGATCTCTTCATTTGCCAAAGCGGAATTTTTTTTGTTTCACTAATCATAGCTTAGTAAAACAGTCAGATAAATTCACGATAAGACATGGTCATGTAACAACGATAAATTAACTAGCTCCTAAGGGTAGGTGTGGCCGAGGAATCTCAGCTTTTGTGACAACAATTTCACCGGGTATGACCGTGCTAAAAACTTCTACTGTCGTCGCACTCCATGTATTGCGTCATAAGTGCTCTCAGTCTGCAAAAAATTTCCGTCACCGACTTTCCATGCGACGTCTATGGGACAACGTGAAGACTCGCTTTCCTGTTTTCTGAGTAAGACGGGTATGGGATGGACGTGTCATTTGATCGAATGAATGATAAGACTGTTTATCATTGAAAATTCTATCATGTCTAACGTAATGTTTTGAAGTCCGTTGCAAAGTTTTACATAGTAAATAAAAGATTTTCTCTGAGTAAGACGGGTATGGGATGGACGTGTCATTTGATCGAATGAATGATAAGACTGTTTATCACTGAAAATTCTACCATGTCTAACATTGTAATGTTTTAAGTCCGTTGCAAAGTTTTACATAGTAAATAAAAGATTTTCTCTGACAAACCGACTTCCACCCTCCCCCCCTTGCTCCGAAGGGGTGGCGGCGGAGTGTCTGAAAAGGGGGGGCAGATGATAGAGTCCACCGCAAAATTCGAACAGTTGAGGTCAGAGTGGCTTTCTTCCCAAACAACTTCGACTCCCAGTTTCCTCAAGGATGCAAAAGAAACACCAGCTTTATTATGGTTTTGTTCATCAGAGGTTTTACTTCGGTTAGGCAAAGATCTTCCGAGTTCATGAGATACGATTAGTGTGAAACTTGCTACGCGGCAGCTCCTTTACAAACTAAGTATTAATGATGTGGAAATTTCTGAGTAGTGCGCAGAAGTCACGCCATGTTCACAAAACATTGGACTTGGCCAAATTGCTAAATGATGAAATACCTTTCAGTGGTAAGAAGTTGTGAAATTATGGAAAATCAATATTTAAGTTACGACTGAAGTGTGAAAGAGAAATTTTACGAGGTTACATCTGAAATTCTCCTTTTTAACTTTGTACTGAACTCCACTAAGGGTTTTGCTCTTCAGTCAGGACTCACGTTGGATGGGACGTAAGTCACGATCGGCACGTGTTTTTATTGTTTTCATTAAGTGTACCGCTGACCACAAAATACTCAAGATACGTTCCCTGAATAAAAACTGAAGTCGGGCTTTTCTTTAGCTGCAACAAATAAATGCACGAAGATTTAGTGCCCCAGTGATTTGCATCTTGTCGAGATGACTCTTTTTAGAAGACTTGAGAGCTATGTTTGAGATTCGAGGGTGGAAACTCAGTGACTTGGCATTCGTGAAATGACAGAGTTTGACTTGGAAGATGGGCCTTTAGGAAGCGAAGCAACCGGCGGATTTTCCGACAAATATGAAGTTAAAGAGAAATTGGGCGCGTAAGTAGACATTTCTTGGCTTTTAATTCAGGTTGATGTCTCAAGAAAGAGCCCATAATCTCATGTGATGTCAGTCAGGGTTGTTTTCAAACAATCGACATAAATCCTGGCGTGTCGTACGGTGAAGACCTTGCATTATTGCACGTACGTTTGATCTGTAGTAAACGCCTCTGGAAACGCTGTTATTTGCATATCCAATTAATACTCGAGCAAACCTTGCTTAAGTTGCTTCAGTGATGTTTAACGGGACTATTGGTTTTTGTTAATGCTCAAAACTGATCCACAATACTTGAACAGATGTGACAGGAAGCTAGAGTCATGTCGAAATCTGTTGAACACGTATTCCTGCTCTATCTATTACATCAGTGAACACCACGCTCCAATGTTTGTCTGCTATGATCGTAAAGAAGTTGTAAGATTGCGTAATAGGGCCATCGCTAACAGTGAAGTTTGACCGACTTAGCATCGAAGTATGGTCCTGTACACATACATGACTTGTTGCAAAGCAAGCTATAACCTACCGCTTGATTCGCAGAACATTGATTTATGGGATCAAATGTCGCGCGTGACTCGAACAAATTGACACCTTTCTTTGATCCGGGTAGAGAGTTAATTCAATTATTATGGTCGAAACAAGGTGATGCTCATTCACTTTGGAAGTACAGTACTCTCTAGAGAATTTTACTCATAAGTTTCGTAATCTGTGCGTCGTTAGCGCTGTTGGTTGTATCTTTACATGTGCATTTCCTGTCTAATCGTGTTCATGATTACTAAAAAATCAAATATGAATTACAATCTTCTATGTCAGTTTATGCTCCAAAGTGTGGTACATCCTGATACACGATTTCAAGGCTGAAACCCTCATAGTTCAGGCATGCTATCACAAGGATTTCCTTCAGGCATGCTGTCATAAGGATTTTCTTCCCTTAGAAATGCCATAACTGCACACAAATTATGATAGTTTTTTAACATGTGTTTGATAAAGCCAATCAGTCGTTGAAAGTTTACTTTGCCCCTGCATCACTGTGTCAGGTTAATGAATTAATGGGAAAGCATTTACCATTCTCAATCCACAGCTGTTTGTCATCATTAGAGGCCTTTATTGTTTATATAATAAACAAATAATACATGATTACTAGCAGGTATGGAATTTCTCTTCTTGGGCTCAATTCAATTTCTCACTCATTTGCTGTGCTCATTAGTGAGATATAGAGTTGACACTCAAGGATAAATTCTATATCTGTACATGCCCATGCATTATCCTGTATTTCTGGAAGTCCTCATATATGAATTAAACATATTTTTAATTGCCAATAGAGGAATTTCCAGTGTGGTACGAAAATGTATCCACAAGATCACTGGAAAACCATATGCTGTGAAAATAATAGACAAGCTTAGTGATGCAGGTGTGGACATTGAAGCAACAACTCGGGATGAGGTCAGCATTCTGCTTGCTCTGCAAGGACATGAAAATATAAGTAAGCAGCTGTTGTTTATCACAATTTTTTGTTTTTGTCATTGTTGCCCATTTTTGACATGACAAAGAGTAAACTTATAATAAAGCATTGGTCAACTGAAAACAGAGTAGATAATGAAGTTTATCTCAAAGTGTTAAATGTGTTTGAACAGTACATGGTATCTTAAATTGTAAATATATCTCATCTTATCTTTCCTTATCTTATTAGTATCCTATATTGTATCTCTCTCGACAGTTGGCTTAGTTGATGTCTTTGAGTCCCCAGTGTTTTTCTTCTTGGTGTTTGAATTGTAAGTGCAAAACTGTCTATTTTACAGCAGTTCTTTGGCTAACTACATTGTTTTTTTGCTACATAAATCTGTCATGTGTATGCATCCATTAAAATAAGGAGAATAACTTTTTGCAGTATGTCTACATGATTGTACATTAAAGAGCTTTTCAATTGAGTGTCTTCGAACCAAACCCAAAGGAATCACTGTGGCTAATTAGACTAAAAAAAATGATGCAAAGAGCAAATGATGACCAAGTTGGTATTGGCTTTTAGATTTACATTTGGCTGGGTGAATAAGTAGCACAAGTTCTGTGGACATTTTGCAGAGTTTATCATTGGAAAATCAATTGAATCCCAGAGGGCAGTCAATTGAAATTTGTGCATATACGAACATCTTTCCTTACAAGCCTGTTCATTTTCATCAATAGAAATCAGTTTTTAAAATGTAATTTTAGACAACTGTTTTATATTGTGGTGTCGTCTCTTAGCTAAAGATGAATTTGGCAAATTATGACCAGTCATAAATGTACAAGTTAATTCACAGTATGTGTATTTCTAATGTTTTATTATTATGCATAATTTAGGGCTGTAAAGGGAGAACTGTTTGATCATCTCACGGACCAAGTTACTTTATCTGAGAAGAAAACCAGGTATATAGATACCCACAAAAATTTGCAGAAAATGCTTGAATGAATAAGGTAATTTTCTATTATCAACTGAGAATGGTGGAATTGTGGCTTGTGTGTGTGTTATGTTTTTTTTTTTCCTTGCGTACAGTTCCTCCATTTGTTCTGACTAAGGGCTAACGCTCGAAACATCAGCTTTGAAACTATTAATGTAGGCCAATTTACATTATCAACTCAGTTAATAACACCAAATTACCTTGTTATACTTAACCACCAATGTAGCACCACAGTTTCTTTCAAAACTCACTCCCTTAATTTGCTTGAATGAACTGATGGGTAAATGAATTTAGTAAATAAAAGCATGTAGACATCTGAATGCATAAGAACAAAAATGAAATGGAACATTCAATGTGACACATATATAGAAGAGGAGGAGGAGAATAAGTGAGAACAAACTTATGGCCTTATTGTGTAATTGCATTGCTGGTTGCAAAACAAATTCTGCAGATATCTCTCTAATGGATAAAAAATCAAGTTTATGAGCATTCTACATCTTGAAAGAGCAGATCAAATGTCGCAATTTTCAAGTATTTACAACTTATTAAATAAATGTATACAAAAGTAGTGACTTTTATGTTGCATTTTAGACGTATCATGCATGAGGTATTTGGAGCTGTTAAGTTTATGCATGATCAGGACATTGTTCACAGAGATTTAAAGGTGAGTTAAAATGCCTGTGGGAATTACACCTTTGTTTACTTGTGGCTGATCCATGTGCACACCAAGTTGTGTTGGATCAGCATTGTGAACACATTACACTTTATCTTATTTGAAGAAGGTTAACATATGTACATGTACATTCTTTTTTCTTGCACACAGAACAAAGAGTGTATTTGTAACATGGATGACATATACATGTATTTGTATTTTCATAAGCTTTCCTAAAGTAGATTTGGGAGTAACCTAAACTTTATTAAACCAAGTTGAATACCAGTAAAAACAAAATTCTGATGTTCATTTCCTTTTTATGTGTTCTTGTGTACTTGAAAGCAAATTTTTTTGCAATGTTGTTTTACAGCCTGAAAACATTCTCCTTGATGAAGACTACAGAATAAAGATATCAGATTTTGGCTTTGCAGTTAAGCTGAAAGAAGGGGAAAAGCTCAGAGGTAGTTTAAAATGAAGTTTACTAACAGAAACAGCTCAAACTCTATATATTTGTTACAAGGGTGCCCCCTCTTGTCATTTTTATGACTTTGTGAACACATCCCCTCTTGACTGCCTTTGAAAGCATACAGTTTACAGCCTGTTCTTCTGTTGATACCAGACGAAAATGACAAATCGGTTCATGTGCTTGAATAGTGAAAATACACTTTTACTGTAAGCATCTGTGTGGCATGGCGTGAAATTAACTTTTTTTTCTGATAGCCACTTGGCTCCTAAATTCTTCAAAGTGGTAGCCAATTCAATTGGTCGCCATTTTCAAAGACAAACAAAATCTTTCTTTACGCTGTCAGCGTTCCAGATAGACCCTCCAAAATTAAGTTAGGGAAAAGATCTTTAACGTGCTACAAAGTGGACACTAGGATGAATGATGTACAATGTTCAGGCTCATCTAAATCCAAGATGGCGTCTAGTTATCAATCGAGAAGCACGTGCTACGTTTTAGAAACAAACTTAATGAGGAAGTTTGCCGCGGATTTATCCTTGCAAATCTTTTTAATTCGCTATATCTCTTGGTAAGGTTATGATGAAACGTTCTAGTCGCCAATTTGGCGACTAACTTTCAGGATTTGGTCGCCAAAGTGAAAAATTTAGTCGCATTGGCGCCTGTATTAGGTGCAATTTCATGCCCTGTGTGGAGGTAACATTTACTTGTCAAAGTTCCAAGTTACATGTAGGAAAGTTGTTTTAGCCATAACTCATCCACCCCTTGCAATACAAGTACACGTTTAGGCTCCTATACATGTATTTTGACTCCATGTGTGCAGAATTTATGGATTTAAACACATGTGAATAACTCAGTACAGAGATATAATCTTTTATTTCATTGGCATTTGCATATATAGTATTTTTTTATATAATATATTTTTTTTCCTAGAGCTGTGTGGTACACCTGGCTATTTGTCACCTGAAGCACTGCAGTGCTCTATGTTTGGGGATGCTCCAGGCTATTCAAAGGAAGTTGACATGTGAGATAACATTCTCCTTAAATTTTTAATTACACTAACATCACATTTTTTACATACACACATACATCAGCCTGCATAATGGTGATGGATAGAGACAACTTATCTGCAAGAAAATTGGATGATACCTTGATATTACACCAAACTCTTATGATTGCCTTACAAGGAAATGTGAGGCAGCTAGTTAGGAGAATTACAAATCCAATCTTTAAAGTTACAGGGTTGAGAGACTTCTGTGTACATTTTTAAAGCTAGGATATTTTGAAGACTTTTATACCCTGCTCTATAATATTTACCAGCATGAAAAATAAGTAGAAATAAAAACTCTCATGTAAATGTTTTGTCATATTGTCACTTGGTTGAGCAACGACAAGCTGTCTGTAATCGCTACCATTGTTTGTCTTTTTTAGTAACTGATTGCAAAATCGTAAGCTCTTCCCAAGCGGATTCGTCCCACACATCAGGAGGCTATTACTCTCCAGTCACGTTATTTCCTGTTCATGCACACTTTTCCCTCCCCCACACCATTAAGGAAAGAATAGTATCAAAAATTAACAAAGTTAGCAATACATGCACTCTATGATGATCTCGTTATTGCTACTTAAAAGAGGCTTGAAAATTCTCAAGTCTTAATGAAACAACCTAAAATTGTTTGCCATTTTTAAATGATGAAGAGAATTCTATTCTAAACTACTGAGAGAGGTTTGCCCCTCGGGTACCATCTGCCGTCATATTCAAAAATGTCTTGCATCACTGTTGTATTTTCTTCTTTGCATGGAACAAGAGTGTCCTCATATATCTGTTAGCAACTGAAATGTTTTTAACTTCCTTTTTTGTTTTTATTTTCCAGGTGGGCATGTGGAGTGATCATGTACACTTTGTAAGTATTTTTAAGAAAAATTCTTAATTTTGATTTGTCATATTGTCCTGTATCTTAACAAATAATATATATCATCTTTTATACATCACTGAAATGTCAAAATAGCAAATCAAATTAAATTTTGACAGGAAATACATGTACATGTAGGTTGTCATTTCGACAAAAATTAGACTCAACCCCTCAACTTCTAGATGTGATTAACATGTCACTTCTCCTTGTAATATCCACACATTATCCAGTAAACAAGTCATGAGAATACTCAAACTTGATATCTACAATCAGATCCTGGGAGTTAAAGGGTTACATGAATAAAGGTGATGCTCATTGTGACATCACTTCGTTTTGACAGGCTTGTGGGCTGCCCTCCCTTCTGGCATCGCCGACAAGTTACCATGCTGCGGTCAATAATGGAGGGAAGATACCATTTTCATAGTCCAGAATGGGACGACATTTCTGAGTCTGCCAAAAATTTGGTGAGTTCCAGTTTACCAGAGAAAATATAATTTAAAGGAGCTGTGTCACGATATTAATTTGGGTAATTCAGGGCGTGAAATTGCGCCTAATACAGGCGCCAATGCAACTAAATTTTTCACTTTGGCGACCAAATCCTGAAAATTTGTCGCCAAATTGGCGACTAGAATGCTTCATCATATCCTTACTTAGAGATATAGAGAATTAAAAAGATCAGAAAAGATAAATCCGCGGTAAACGTCCTCGTTAAGTTTGTTTCCAAAACGCAGCACATGCATCTCGATCGATAACTAGACGTCATCTTGGATTTAGGTGAGCTTGAACGTTGTATATCATCCATTCTAGTGTCCACGTTGTAGCATGTTAAAGATCTTTTTCCTGATTTAATTTTGAAGGGTCTATCTAGAACGCTGACAGCATTAAAAAAAGGCTTTGTCTTTCTTTATAAATGGCGACCAACTTTTTTGAATTGGCTACCACCAAGTGGCTATCGGAAAAGAAAAAATTAATTTCGCGCGCTGTAATTCATATTTCTGTGATCTGCAAAGTTACAGTAGCACCACTTAGAAAAAGACTACCAGGTAGAAACTTGGAAATATAGATAAACAGAAAGTAATGGTGAACCAAGAGGGAACACAGAGGACTAAAGATGAAGAAAATAGCAATTGTTTGTATGAAAACAAACTTGAGAATTTTTTAAATACTGTAGCAAACGTGGTTTCTTTTCTTTTCCAGATTTCAAAGCTTCTAGTTGTTCATCCTAAAGGAAGATTAACTGCAGAGCAAGCTCTTGAACATGCCTGGTTCCAAGGAGCTCAGGTTTGTTATTTAGACTGTCATCGTGAACGAAAACTTTGCTTTAATATGTACGATGTATTGATTGCCTACCCTGTGCTATTTATTACTATATATTCATATTTTTATTTAATATACTTATCTTTATCTGTATTTTAAATTTGCAGCAGGCGAAAAATGATGGATTTTCTGCAAGGTGGAAATTCAAGGTAGCTCCAAATTCCTTTTTGATAATTAAACATAATAATAATTGGTGCTTTCATGTAGTAGTCGATACAGGTTCCCGATAAATATATGGAGTATTAATGTAGAGTTCGTCTGTCAAAAATATAATTGGAAACTATTCTGGAGTATTAATGTAGAGTTCGTCTGTCAAAAATATAATTGCAAACTATACTTAGAGCACAGCTTCGGGAAAAGGGAAAGTGTCCCAGGCAAGAGGTGTCACTTTTACAGAGGTAACAGAATTAAAGGTTGTTCCGTCAGGACCTCAGATTTTTTCCCTTGAATCGATGGGTCCCCAGAAAAGGACTAGCCACGGTGAATTTTACCATTTATTTAAAGGTCTGTGAATACTTTGCTAATTTACTCACAAATCAATGTTTATTTGTTATTAGGGAACCGTGATTGCCCTTATAGCGGTCAGAGAATTCTACAAGTTTGCAAAGAATAAACTTCAACCAGTGACATTTGATACGATTCTTCGGGAGCCTTATGGCGTGAAACCTTTGCGTAAAATGATCGATGGATGTGCGTTCAGGATTTACGGACATTGGGTTAAACGCAACAAGGACGAAAATCAAAACAGGGCTGCGCTATTTGAAAATAAACCTCACAAAGAGAGATACAATGGCAATGGAGATATGCCAAGGAAGATCAGTAACCTTGACACGTATAACGCGTCCTTTCGGATGTCATCTATGGGGTTGATTCAGTACAAATCCGTTAGAAAACTGAATCCGAGCAACTAAAGGAGAAGCTGCACAGAGAAGTTGTCGATGTTTTGTCCTTCTGTGGCTGAAGTAGCTGTTTGGAAGAAAAAATTGCTTCGTTCAGACTTGGCGTAACCAACGCCAAGCAGATGCAAGCAAACACGGGCGTTTTCTTTTGCAACAGCCTGGGTTCCTTACTTTAAAGATGTAAATTTTCACGGGGTACTTCGTAAAGAGTTTTATTTCAGGTTGGTTAACAGACTCACGAATTATAGTGACCCTTGTGAAATATCTCAGACAATGGTAAAAGAATGAGACCGCTCGACTTTGTCATAGCTTACCACGAAAATGGAAATGATGTCAACTAAGGAAAACAGAGAGCAGAAATTTTGATTCGCGCAATATTTGATGGGGGCATGAAAGTAAGTTACTAGGCGATGTCTAGTCACTGGAAGCCCTCGCCCCTACTCTTGAAGCCAACTCCCGCGTAACAAACAGTATTTTTCAGTATAAGAATATATACCGCATGGAGCTTTGTTTCAACGGAGTATTGTTGCAAATTTCTGCATTTTCGAGTGCTTATGGCCAAGTGTTTCTCTGACCTCACTTCGCTGCATTGTAGCATTTAAGTTTTTCAGAACTTCTTCCCACTGGACAGCCTTGTCTTGATCTCAATCTACTCCTATTTAAATTTTTTCTTATCTGAGGATAAAAGGCTGAGGGTTTGTATATTAGCTAAGTAGTATGGATCTAGAACGTAACACAGATGATAGTGACCTTGATGAAGGGAATGTTGGTTAACAGAAAATTCCACGGCACGTTTATTTACAAGTATTTATTTTCGTTCTTGAGAGTGTCGAGAGTGACCTCAAAGAGGCATTTATTTACTTAGTTCTTTCGTTGTAATTCAAGATGAATAAAAAATGAAGACTAACTGACCGGTTTTTATGCACTTTGGTTGTGGGGTCCTTGGGGGTCTGTTACTCGTCATGTTCATGCCAAAGTTATTTTGCAAGGAGTTGGTGGGAAAAGAAAACTTCTAAACAAAACGTAGAGTGGGTTAGTTGTGAGGTTGATGGGAAGAAATGTTAGAGTGGCTTCCTTTGTTTTCAAACAAAAAGAAAAAGAGATTTCCCAGATCTTTTTATTCCTGTTTATGAGGTGTTGGAGAGATGTGTATTTTTCTGCTCTACACGATTGAAAGGTGTTCAAATTTTCCTTTGAATGATCGTGCATGCTAAGAAGTAATACTGAAAAGACGGAGGGTATACTATTTACATCCCGGTTTACCAAGATACCTAACATCGAGAAGCTCTCTTTTGCCAACACCGTCATTGAACTAACTGAGAGAGTTTGTGTTCTTGGTGTTAATTTAGATAAAAGCCTATCACTGACATACCACATAAACGAGACATGTAAGAAAGCAACTGACACCATATCACGTCCACTGGTCGCATTTGCAAATATATCACCATGGAAAATCTAGATCTCAAACTGTTAGTTAATGCACTAGTGATATCACGTCTGGACTATTGTAATAATATCCTTTATGGTCTCCCAGACGGTCTAGAAAAGTCTATCGGATTCTGTTAAAAATACAACATATCTTTCATCTTTTAAATCTGCCTTCAAAACATTCTTGTTTCGGAAAGTTTATTTGATTTATTTTACGAGAAACTGTACTTCGCTTTCAAGTCACCTAATTTTTTAAATAATTATTTCATTTATTTTATTTATTACTGCTATAAGAAACATTTAATAGGTTTTAACTAATTTATTTTTTTCTCTATAGTAATGTAAGCGCATTGCGTTTTCTAAATGAGCCCAAAAAACTCTATCATTATTATTACTATTATTATAGACAGGCATAATAGCGGTACTTATCAACATTTGAAGGCTGTGAGTTAACAGTTGTATGTTTTGATGTAACTTGTGTGCTCCATTAATAAGGTAAACTTGACTCCTTGGTTGCCTATCATGGTTGAAATCGCATGTTTGACGCACTTACCACAGTTTCAGACAGTTTTAAAATCCCTCAAGGGGGCCACTTCAGCCACCACGTTTTCGTAAGCGTAGTTGAAACCCTGGGAATGAGCATGTGTTCGAGGATAAGAGACGCCGCAAATGCTGCTGGGAGCGGTTACATAACGTCAACATGGCGGATGTAATGAAGGACTGACATTTATCTGATAACAGCTGAAAATAATTTAATTTCATCGCTGCAACATTGCTATCTGCTCAGCGAAAGCTGCTTCGAAAACATTTTTCAGTGTTTTAGTTCTCAGTGGATTGCCTTAACCGCTACTCCTCCGATAGTGGCATGTTTTCTGTAGTCACTCACTCGACAAGGCGGGTTGTCACTTGCCGTTCGCATTTGGGTATTCAAGGTGTCTATGCCGCTAGGAAAGCATGCTATAGCGATGGAATGAAATTTAACGAAGGACCTTTACAGTTGTACAAGTCACATTTAGAAAGAAAAGTTCTGAAGCCCGACAACTCACAGCTGAAAGTGGTGTGCAATCTTCAAAGCCTGTTTGAACGACTCAAAGATTATGATTCCCAAAAGCAATCAAGTAAGTCAATTGCTCAAAGTTATGTAGGTTTTATCGTTTGTTAGCCAGAAGAGGAAGATTATCGGCTGAATGACTGGTCTTCTTGGACTGTAATTGTTTGTTACATGATTCATGCAATTGTTTGTTACATAACTAATGTAACTGAAAAAGATTCATAAAATCCTACTAGTTCCAAGGAGAGTAGTTTTTTGTTTGGTGGGTATACTGAATTGTCCACTGAATTGTCTGCTAAGGTTATTTTGCAGCCATCGTAATTATTTTTAATTTTATTGGAATTATATTGGATATTGAGATTATAACTGTTATTGTTTTCGTTGTCATCATTGTTATTTTTTTCATTTGACAATAATTTTTCAATGTTTGACAGGTTTACATTAGTTTTTTGGTTGGGCTTGTATTTTTTGTTACCAAAAATAGCTTTTGCCCAAAAAAGTGCACAACTTCTTTCTCAAATGGCTCTTAAAATGTGACTTCTCATTTGTTTTTGACACTCAATGCTGTTTTGCCGATCCTTTTAACCTTACTGAAATATATTATATACATTTTGTTTGTATTTGTCTGTATTGCAGTTATAATGCAACATTGAACTATCAAATGTTTGCTATTGTACCTACATGTTTGATTTAGAATGACAATTGTTAAAAACATGACTGCATGGTTATTAAAATAACATCAATTAAAATTGCCATTTAGTGGCAGAGGAACATAAAGTGGGCAAAGTGGTATCATAAATCAAATTGCAAGAGAAACTTGGTATTGTTTGGTATGAGAAAAGATGTAAAGAATACTTAACTTGTGATGGGTATGAGTCCTTTCCAAGAAGGGTGGCTTTGTTAAAAAAAATTGAAATATCCTTGACCTACATTAGCTGTGACTACATGCCATAAGGTAGTTTTTTTTTAAGTGTTTAATTTCTTGTTCACTTAATTTCCTTTCAGAAATTATTGTTTTTATGATTTCTCTTTCTTAATTCCATTAAGTTAAGGATGATCAATAATTTTTTTTCACTCAAATGAAAATATCTCTTCAACCCAGGTTGCTATCAGGGGTAAATTTTTATGGGTCATACTGATTTCTTCTCTGTGTGTTAAAACCAGCCTGACATATTCGAAAAGGTCTGTGAGTATCAACTCAAGACAGGGAAATTGACTGAAACAGCAAGAACATCAAAATAAGTAAAGTTTTTAGAATATAGAAATACATAAGCTATCATGCTTGAATTCACCTTTTTCTTTCTATCAGGTAATCAACTGCTCACACCTCAAGGACTCTATCTTTACGGTGGGGTGGGTAGTGGCAAAACAATGTTAATGGACATATTCTATGACAGCATACAAGTTCCAAACAAGAAGCGTGTGCATTTTTACTCCTTCATGCTTCAGTTGTATTCTGCCATTAATCGGTGGAACCTTTGTTGTCCAAGTGATGAGCTAACCTTTGATACAACTCCAGTGGAGTCCATTGCCTCTGAGCTGGCTGGAGAGGCTTGGTTGCTCTGCTTTGATGAAATGCAGCTGGCAGACTTTGCCTCCACCCGGCTTTTGGAAGGAGTCTTTCGTAAAATGTTGCAAAATGGAACAGTTATAGTAACAACATCTAACAGGTCAGATCACAGTTCACTTCTTGTATCTAACTTTCACCAATGACATGGGCACAGCAATTCCTCAAGATGTTTTCTTTGCTTTTTCTCAAATTACTGAGCTCTGATTCTTTCAGTCAGACCTGATCCAAAGAGTCCATTTATCTGTTAGTTTTTCATTGGTTCTTTGGTCAGTTCTTTTGTCCATCAGTCAGTTCTTCTTTCTGTCCATCTGTCTGTCAATTCTTTGACAGGTCAACTCAGTCTTTTGCCTGAAGGGACATCTATGAAACAAAGGGTATAAATTCCTTGATAGGGGTATATGAAGGTTAAGTGTATTCACTTAACCTGCAGGCAGCCTGGGTTTTGTGGTTTACACTAACTCCTCAACATTTAAATTCAGCAAACTCATGGTATGAATAAACAAATTTGTCAGCTAGAGGGTGTTGTCCTGATACAGCAAAATGGTTTCTTCACCATGGTAGAACTACTAATCAGTTTTAAAGGCTCTTGATCTACTCTGACGATTTTGTCTTTCTAAATTTTTGTTTCTAGATCTCCTAATGAACTTGGGGCTTCATCCTTTGGACGCGAAAGGGAGGCTCTAGATTCATTGACGTCGTTAGTCGCTTTACTCACTGAGCGTTGTGAATTGGTTGCCATGGATTCTGAAAAGGATTACCGAACCAATCAGAAACGCGGAAAGGACAATTATTTCAGTCCTCTGACCAAACACACAGAAAAAGTATTCGACGAAGCCTTTTGTGAAGCAGTGGGGCGTGGTCGGCGGCTAACATCGGTTTCGCTTCCCGTGTATGGTCGGAAGGTCATCGTCCCCATCGCTTCGGAAAATGGCATTGCTAGGTTCACTTTCAATGAGCTGTGCAGGTCTCCTCTAGGGCCAGCCGACTATATTACGATCTGCAATGCTTTTCACACGGTATTCTTGGAGGACATACCGCAGATGAGCATCTACCAAAAGAACGAAGCTAGGCGCTTTCTTAGTTTTGTCGATGCAGCTTATGAAAGTAAAGTGCAACTTTTCTGCACTGCGGCTAGCTCACCTGATGAGTTGTTTCAATTGATCCCCAGCGATGACCCACTACAAGAAGACAAGATGCACATGGAAATGATGGGCGAGATGGCTTATGATCTTGAGCTCACCCAGCTCGAACTGAGTTCGCTCGGAATATTGACCGGCGAGGAGGAAATCTTCTCATTCAAGCGTTGCATTTCACGTCTGAAGGAAATGCAAAGCGAGCTGTATCAGTGTCAGAAACACCGTCTCCAAGCCTTCTCTCCTTATCTTGGTTCTTTTGAAGAACGTTTGCAATCGGAAAATCGTCGCCGGGAGCGCGAACACAAGCGTCGAATGAAAATGCTGGAGGCCTCGGGGGATGGCAGTGAAGCTCTCCGAGAATTACCACTGACACCTTTGACGACAGGCTCCTCCGACTGGGCAGACGAAGCGAGTTACGTCACTTGGAGCAATGATATCATGAGGAAAGAACTTCAAGACATGGAAAGGAAGAGAAGCGGGGAGTTGGTGACGAGGCAAGACGCTCCAAAATTCAACGAGGAACACTTTTGGGGTTTTGGGTGGTGGGAAAAGGTTATGGGAAGGAGAAAAACTAAACCAACACAAAACAGCGATCACACCACTAACCACTCGAAAGACTGAATCCAAATTGGTTTTGGACTTAAACGAATACTTAACTCTCCCCCCCTCCCTCTCCAAGACCACCCCGAACGTTTCTTTACTCGAATGAAACGACGGCTTGTAAACTAGATATTTTAAACTATTTTCTTACAGACCTCTAGTACTGTACAGTAAAACCCTGAAATTGATATTTCTTATTCATAGGGTAATATGAAATTTCATTATGTAATGATATGCCGTGGGACTGAAAAACGGTTAAATGTTCTCTGTTTCCGCTGAGCCACGAATACTTTGTCCTAATTTACCATGTGAAGTAATCTGGGGGTTTTTAGCAGGTTAATATACTGTAACAGGCACCATCGTACCTTTACAGAGCAGATGCAACGTTCATACAAATTGAACCAAACTCAACCATTTTATATTTTTAACCTCCTCCTTTTTTTTCTCTTCCCCTCTTTTCCCCCCTTCCCCCTTTCTGCGAATTTTTTTGGGTGACAATAGTCCCTCACAAGGGAAAACGAAATACAAAATGTAATGCGTTAGTAGATTTAATATTTAATAGTCTAGGAACTAAAAAATCCTTACCAGGGTAAACCTTGTGTAGAATGATTGTTTAAGGAAAACAATGAAAAAGTGGAAATCAGATCTGAATGTGACAAGAAGGAATACACACTCGTTTGGAACCAATGCCGTGTTACCTTAGGTCGATCCGTGGCGGAGGCTATCGGGTCTTCTTCAAAATCCGGTTCTCATGATCTGAACGTTGTGACGACTAACACCCACGTTTGCTAAGCAAGATGTGATGCGTCACGTGGGTGTGCAACGTGCAAATATTAAATTTCATTTGTTTTCATCTTTACTACTTTTACCATCTCGAGATCCTAATTTTAAATCACATCTCGGGTTTAAAAAAATGGTTTCAGCCATCAGATTTTGAACCCGGAAAACTCGTCGATGTAACCCGAGTGGTTCAACAATTGAGTGTTCTATTGAACTCACCACGTAACATGCCAAGTGAGATTAGCCTTGTGAGTTTGTGGGCTAACGAACAGCGCATCAAACTAACTGACAAAATCGTTAAGTTAGAATCCTGCACAAGACCATCACGTGGGTAGGGTGGGTAGAGCTTTACACCAAGAGGCTCCACCAACCCCGAAACCTTTAGTGTACGTTTCTGTTTTGGCTGTAGTCATTACTCTTTCGTTTAGCTTTCACTGAACAATGGTCCACATTTCATAGACGTTCTCCGTTTGTATCTCTGTGCTAAACCCTCATATCAATGAAGGAAATGGGTAAACATTTCATTTACCCAAACAGATTTTCCCCACCCCAACTTATGCTTCTCAGGGGTTCATCGTGGAAACTCTTCAAATGAGCTAACTCTTGCGAATGACAGCGAGATGGTGAAAACAAATACATTGGTCAAATCCGCCTCGATTACATCAAAGCACAACTTTTTTGAGTATCCCCCAATGGTTCTACCTTACAAAGAAAGGTTCAAGAGAAGTAGACACAAAGCTATTCTAGTTAGAGGGTGACAACGTTGAAATGAACGAGGTTGGTCTGGAACCTCGTAGGACCAAGAATTCCAAATGTGAATGTCGTCACCCTCGTCCTATGTGTCAGGGAGGCATAGCGCGCTCTACTTCTACTGCTCTACTCGTGAATGGGGAATCATCATCATCGCTCGTTGCGCCCGCTGTAGGCGCATAAGGCCGTCCTATTGTCCGCCCGACCCCCCGACGCGCGTGCCGCCGTCTTGGCCACATTCCAGCTCTCCAGTCCACCTCTTTTGACAGTCCTTCTCCAAGTGGTCTCTAGTCTCCCTCTCGCCCTTCGACCTTCTGGTGTCCCCCGAATGCCGTGAAACAGTCGTTTACACCTTCTCTCCCTAACCAGGGGGAGAAGGGGTTAGATGCTTGTGTTTCCCTCTGTCTCACATGGTTGAAAATTCCCATGGTCTGAGGCTAATTGTATTTGAATATCGATCAAGAACAGCTCATACTCGCACTCATCTGGCTAATTTTTTAATTAAGATTAAACAGCTAACATTTAAAAGTGTTCGGTCCATAATAGTTTTAAAACAGTAATGAATCAAGGTGACAGTGACAGATCTCGTGACCGTTTGACGACAAAGTTTTCGAAAGACCACAGTTTCCCAAGTCCACAGTATGTCGCCGTTGTCTCCCTTCAAGAGGGAGTTATCGAAAAGCTCCGTTTTTGGTTTGGATTAAAACTCCGAAAACTTCCTTTTGGTAAAGACCCTGAGCAAACAAGCGAAAAGTGTGTTCTCTTTTTTTTCAAGTGTTTTATGATTATCGTTCATTTGGGCTGGAACTTAGTTCGTGAACGTATTAAATGGAGGCATCGAGTTGCCCTTTTCATTGTAACATTGACAGATGAAACTCAAGTGAGCAACCAGAGGCAAAACTTTCGTTGTACGTACTAAGGACTTCACATGAACAAAACGAATACAAAGAAGACTGGGTCAAAATGGAGAATTATTGAATGAAATAATCTTGACATAAATTTTAAGTTTCATACAATGTATGAACAAAATCTGATTTAAAAAAATGCACTTAAATAATTATTTCCATTCTGTTAAATGGAAGAAAAATGTTTTTATTTAGGAATTTTCTTTTAAATTTTTTCGTCAAGACAAAGAAACGAACTCTGTTTTTGTCTCTTAAGTAATATTCGGACGATGCGAGTTCTAAGCCGGCGTTCTTATACCTCCCAGAGGTCAGTGGAGTTCCAAGCAGTGTAAGTAAACTTGCCCCCAAGGCTGTCCATAGACTGCTTTTTCAGTTATAAAAAAAAATTCGTGTGAGTCCTCATTTGGTCAGCGTTTTATCATTGACTGGAAATGGTTCCTGGTGGCGATTGATATCCAGGTACATCATTTTGCTGTCCTGAATTGTACCTAAGATACTGTGTGGGATAAGGCATACTACGGTGATCACGTATAGACGGGAAGCCTCGGTACACAGCCGTAGTTGCTCCAGGGGAGGTAGGGTGTGGATGGAATAGCGGTGACGTAATAGTTGGACTCATGATGGGTGTGCAAGCCGGGACCGTAATGGAGGGGACTGTGAGAGAGGGAAGAACACGGTTCATGGGAACCAGAGGTGTGGTCACATTTGACATTGTCCCTGGAATGAAAAGAAAGAAAAATGATTCATCTGGGCCACTAAGAAAGTCTTTTATTCTTTCATCTTTAAAAATTTGGGGTTCTGTGGAGTGAGAGCGCCATTTAAAAGGAGACAATAAATTGTGAAACGTCTTTTACTTTTACATCGTGTAAAATCGCATTCCGTTTTGACAAATTAAAGCTATCCTGGTAGTTGCCAAGTTTATTTTGATTTCTTTGTCATTTTTACCAATAGTTCAGTTTCAAATTGAAGTTCTTAAAGTTAAGGATTGAAAACGCGGGTAGAATTTAACAAAACCATCTTCCTTATTCTATTTAGATGACAGTCCATTCCTACGATAGGGTAATTGAAGAGAATGGATGTTTGGGTTGTGTTTAAAGTTCAGTAAATTTTATGATCTTCATAAGCTTAAAAACTGGCAACATAACTGAGAAAATAATTTTGGAAAAATGAAATTGAAAAAATTTAAAAGACAGCATGGTTAAAATCTCAACAAAACACAGATAACTTTACCATCAGCCCATAGAGCAGTTAAAAACATATAGAAAGATGACTAATAACCTGTTACACTGTCGCCCCCTTCTCGGTTAGAATTACATGACTTCGGAGGGTACACTTCACTTTGAAGTCGAGGCTTCGCTGTAGGCATTACTGATCCTGGCTCTATTTGTTTTATGACTTCCACTACACTGCAGAGAGAAGATGAAATTTGCGTCTCAGTGCCCAATCGTTCAGCTGTCCAAAAAGAGCGCCCGAAGATAAAAGCGGCAAACTTCGCTTATGGCGCTGGTGGGGTTGACTCCATAAACCTGAAGAAATTCTCAAGAAGTAATTCCTTACAAATGAACAGAATTATTCGATAATGCTCTTGAGTCATTTTTACATTCACCTAAAGAAAGAGATTTACTAATGCCACATGAAAGGGCTAGAGGCAAACACAGAAGGGAGAAAAAATGGCGATTCCGTGTCGTGTCTTTATCTGTGTAAGATGTAAATTAAGAAGGCAGAAGAATTGACCACATATGGAATTTATCTGCTTACTCTTGACCTAAACAGAACAGTTTATCTTTTACTGTACACCTTTACAACTTAAATTACGCTCCAACTCCGAAGGACAAACGTAACATCGTGCTTAGGGAGTGTCTCCCTACCTTCTCCACTAGGGAGAAAGGCTGGGAAAAACCAATTGTTTTTAAAACATACCAATCGTCCGGATCACAGTCACGAAATCCTTTAGCAAATGGATTGCTCGCTATCTTTAATTGCGTTATCTGGTTAAGAAAACAGATACGAACTATAATTAGTATGTATATGTACCAAACACCTGTTCAGCACTTTCTCAACGTCGATTCTAATTTCCCGCTTAAATCAAAATATTTCGGCTGCTTTAAACCTTCCAGCATATAAAAAATGCTCCCTCTTTAAGATAGGCAAAAGAGAACAGATGCACTAAGGGTATAAGAATAACGGAGGGTAACAACAAAAACCTCTTGTGGCATAAGACTTAATCTTTTGGCCCTGCTAAATTAAAGTTGAAGGATTGCAAATTAGATGGAGGAAAATATAAATGTATCAATTTTGTTGTCATTTTAAGCGTTTTGCTCTCAAAATAGTCGTAGAAGACACTAGAGAAACGATTCACCGCAGTGAATAATTCTTTATTAGTGCTACGCTTTTTTATCAGTCAGTTAAAGTCAAAATATGGTTTCACTTAGCGCATTAGATCATATCCACATGTATTTTGCGCTATATAAGTAATAAATTATTATTATTATTATTAAGAACAAGAGATTACATATGCCTATGAAGAGAGGAGCGCAGCAGTATTTACGTGGAGCCACGTTTGTTGGTAACTTGAACGGTGTTTTGCTGACAGATTGAAAAAACGTCACATAGTGCCATGAGGTTTCCTTTCATCTCTTATGCGGAGAAGCATTAACAATTAATGATCATCGTCATTATTGGCCTTACAATGTTGTCGACACACGTAGGTTTTGGACTTCGGAACGGACATCAAGATTACAGTAAGGTTTGTGTGAAGTCGATTAAGAAAAGAAATTAATTTTCGACCATCACTGACATTTCCGGTATTTATTAGGGGATAAAAACCACTCCTTGTCCCCAAAGAACATTTCAGGAATGAAAAAGAGGGAATCTTCATCAGTTATCAAGAGAAATAAATTTGTAATCTACTTACCATATGATTCTGGTACGCGGTCACAGCCATGAATTGTGTTTCTGGAAACAAAAATGTTTTAACGTGTTCTGTGCTCGCTCCCAGGGCGCTAATCATGGTACTCTTCTCTTGGTTATCAAGGACGACGTGAAAACGTGGTTGATACTTGTGCATAGAGTTGAGTATAATCTGAAATAACAGAGAGATGTAGAATATCATCTATCACAACCATCGGCATGATCATCAAAAATTAACTACATCATTATGTTTACTATCAACATTATAATCTTGATTTATAATCTTCGTCATCATTATTATTACTATTATCAGTTTTATTATCAAGATTACCATAGTCATTAACATACCAAGAAATGATATCTCTTGCCTCTCCCAGTTTACACAAAAGTCAAAATTGATCAGTGGCGAAGAATAAAACTTTGATTTGAGACATTAGAGTCCAAAGATGATTGTAGGCTTAGTACACAACCAGCATCTCATACAAAATCTTGCTTAAAAAAGACATCCTGAACATTCATGTAACCTTCCTCTAAAAAAATGTCGGTGTTAGGCGCCTGCTTAAGTGATATGTGATACTTTATAGACCCAGAATTTTGAACGAGAAATTATTCCATCTTATAATTATCTTTCCAGAAACGCCGCAATCATGGATATTAAAAGTACAAAGCTACGAATCCGCCGTATTTCCGTCTGTGGCGACCAGCTCTCTTAAACAGTGATTCAAACCTCAAAATTTCGTCAGCAAAACATATACTTATAATGTTCATATCTTCTTACATGTCCATTGTCATCCATCAGATTATTAGTGAGTTTAAGTTTGTCGAACGAAACGACTTGTTTCATCCATTGCTGTCCAGTACAGGGTGAGTCAGGGTGAATGTGTACCCTCCCGGGTACACTGGCGTCTGCTTTGCCTGCCACCAGCCACTTAGAACTGTGGAACGCGTACCGATAGCGTTTATCGTCCACTGGTATGAAGTCCATCATTAGGATATACTTAGCCGTGGGGTCCAAACCTTGTAAGCGCACTTGGAACGGCGGAAACATGCGCCTGGCAAGGAAAGATGAAAGAGGAGGGGATGATAAGTTTGCAGTTTTAAATTACCTTGGCTGTTTCATGTTCTCAGTCCGAATTGATTCAGTCGTAAAGGTTATCTTGCTGTGCAGGGTGGCCCCCAAATCAAAGTCTTGAAGGAAACATGTCATTTTTTTTTTAAAGAAAGCCTTAAATTAGTTTTCCCATGTTCAAACTTATGACGCAATATGAAGACGAAGCCCTTGGAACTCTTACTTTCACACTGAGTATTGTCATAGGTTACTATGTAGTCCAAGTTGGTTGAAAGAACTGTCTCAATGATGTTGGCTGTGAATGGACCCTAGTGCTACTATATGTTAGGCTCACTACGCTTAAATTTCATGCCACAAAATCTTTATCAATTGGTTCGAAAACTGTCCAACAGTAACCCGAGATCCACTTATGTGCTATAATATTTCTTTTTCTGTGTCGAACTTCGTAATAATTTAAAGGCGGTGTTTACTGGAGCACAAGACGATTGTTTGAGTATTTCTCCCTCTTGTTGACACCTAATGCTGAAGTTCCCATTCTACGAAAGGAATGTCTTCTGAGTTGTTCGAGATGAGACAGAACTGAAACGAAACTGGAAAGTCAGACACGCGAGGTTTTAAGTTGATGCGCTCATGCAAAAACAAAAGGTACTGAATCCATCTTGGATTTGGATGACTCGATTTCGTTTCATACACCTGATTTCGGTGTATGATGGAATCCCGCAACTAAGGTGGCCAACCACTTGGCGCTTTGGGAGGTTCTTTTCTGTTATGTAAAGTGTTCGATGACTAAACCAATATTTTCTGTTGGCTCCCTCGACACTTATTGTGTAATCTGCATCTGAGGTTACATTGTAGTAAGGAAAGTAAACAAAAAATGACGACTCTTTTTGTGGAAACACGGGAAGTCTCAGGGAGGTACTAATCAAATTTGTTTTTGTTTTCTTTACATTCTCGTAACTTGTAATACCATTTCCGCTTTTACCTAAGTAGTCTTAGCCGGTAATTTTGTCCGAAGGTGTTGCCAAGTGGGTGCGACGTGTCCTCTTTTTCGTGAATCGAGCACCAACTTTTCGAACACTACATTTGGGTAGCTGCTACTCCTAAGTTCTTCTCAGAAGTTCTCTTACAGAATATTACAGTCGTGTTTTGAACTGTGAAAATTCTGCGGCAACTTTACGTAGCAAAATAAGATATAAGCCATTACGGAAGATACAACTTCCCCAAAGACAATACGTGACAGACGAACGTTAAAGAATTGTCTAAAATTTTTCACTAAATTTCCTCGGTAATGACAAAGTAATGTAGCTGTCTGGTTTTTCTTGACCCCTACAGACAAACAAACAAACATAAATATTTTTACCAAAGTTGCAAAAGTGGCGTCATGTTCGCCTTCAGAAAGAGGGATCTTAAACAGATCTTGAATATAATCGCCTCTTCACTTCTAACTCAAAGAATACATCTTCAATCCAAACTAGGAAAACTGCATGAGCAACGTTAGTCAGCAAATCAAATATCTCGAATCACCAAATGAAATAGGTCACACCTCAGGACTTGATTTGGCTTAAGATTACTTAAACGTTTGAGCAAAATCAGTGGATTTCCTCTTTGAAATACAAAGACCGAGACACTGACGAGAACATTAATTAATCATGGTCAACTGCCATCTATTTTCAGGCATACTCCACCGGAAAACAACTCTCAGGGTAATCATAGTTGAAAATGCTGACTCACTTGCTCCAAAGAAAACAAAGTGCTGTTCAGGGCAACTAACGAGCGAGGGTACAGTAGTTAATCTATGACAAGATGACGCCCTTGTCAAAGCCAATCTTTAACGATCGAGATTGGTTTTAGTGTGTGCTATGTTTGATTAAGAACGAGAAAGCAGACAACGAGAAAAAAAAAATCTCTGTCAATTCTCATCACATTTTTCCTGGATAACATATTGAGTTTATTTGGAGAAGTTACACGCTAATCACTTCAATTCAAAAGGTTAACTTTCTTCGATGCTGATTTCTCTTGCATTTCTGTAGAATTCCCAACTAAGCTAAAGGTCAATCCATCAACAGCTTTATGCAAAATGAACTTCATTGCAAAAGAAAAAAAAGATGAAATAATGTAACACCGATTCCTCTTCCAAAAAAGTCCGTCTTAGGAAGGGTCCCTACGTCCAAACTCGCCCCCATTTGGTCCTGTATTTGTACGAGCTCTTTCACAGGCCTTATTTATGGCCGAGAGAATTGTGCCTTGAACACGCAGTAGTTCATAATGACCTTAATGAGAAGGGAAGGACCTTAGAAGGAATTCTTAGGCACTCGGTCTTTAGCTGAGGGCTTGTAATTTTTGTTGAAACGTGATATTATCAAACAAGGCGTTTGTTTTTTCCGGCAACTGAAGACCTTAGACGGCCAGTTAAATTGAATTCTTATGATGTTTTCACCCTTTCTAATCAAAGAATGGAAATCTAAAAGGAGAACAGAGGCAACCCCTGTGTGAGTCGAATTCAAGGCCATTATTAGATTACTTTCTTGTGAGTAACCGAGAGTATTTGACTTTCTTTCTCGACAATAACTTAAGTAAACTTTGGTCGCCTTTGCTTTTCCAAAAATTTTGAGCAAATAATTTTTGTACAAACAAACAGTCATTATAGCTTAAGAGATAACTTTTTAAAAAAAGATTTATGTTTATTTGAGTGACTGAAAGTTTGCCAAGAGAACGGGATAAATCTCCTTAGAAGGCAATTAACCACTTTAATTCTTCGACAATAAAACGCCGAAATTGGGGGTCTTTCCGTTTGAAAACCGCAGAAAGGACAGAAAAAGAGAACAGAATTTCCAAACAAGGCGAGACTATATTAACGCGAAAATTTATTAGAGTTTTGACGGGAGTGTGAAAGTTTTCGAAACTTCTGATTTGTGGAGAATGAGAAATAATTGTCAAGCAGGTCTCGTCGATAAATTCTAGTAACAATTAGCCCTGAGGCTAATCTAAAAAGTCTACAACCGATCCATGACAATTGTCTACACAAGGTTTACTTTGCAAGACCCAAATGTAACAGATAATACCGTTGGCATTTAAAGCAAATTGAAGCTAAACTAACAAGGACCTCATTGAAATAGTGCGTAGCACTTTTCCACACTATCAGCTCAAACTTCTGTTCTTCTGTTATTCGTGTAATCTTACGACCTTTAATTAGCTTAGCATTCATGTTACTTCCTGTCCCTCTCGAGATAATAGAGTTTTCTTTTCATTTCGAATTTTGTTGGGAAAAATGTTGGCAGATAATGTGCTTGCTGTTTCAAATGCTGGCCACACGCGTTCGTGGCCTACAAATCGCGTTTGTTCATAGAGAAAACAAAACATGGCAACACAAAAGAATGGATCATAATGGATCGTTGTTGTGATAACCCTGATTAGGAAATCAAAAACATTTTACCCGGCTAATGGCATAAACAGACTCATTCACTGAAAGTAAACGGATTCATGGCAATGTTATTTTTTGGCTTTACTAGCATACACGCCAGTAATGAGTGATTTCCTCTTACGATATCGTCCACCGAGATAACGCCTGACAATTTTCGCACAATTTGCGAATAATTTATGATCGGCCTTTTTTAACCTTCAATCATTGTCAGCATTTAGCGTGGAGATTCTCCAACATATGTTTCGTTGTTTAACGTTTCCATTAGAGCGCATGTTCCCTACTATTCGAAAGGGTCTCATTTCATTTGTAAGGCTCGCCACATTTTGCTCACCAAGACCATTTATTAGGTATTAAAATCGGAAGAACTTAATCTCTAACCTTCCAGCTTTTGTGACAATCATCTCTGTGCCCAAAGCGTAGAAATCGTCCCATAAATTCTTCATCTCTATTTCTACTTTCACGTTTGCTAAAGAACAAGACAGCGGACTGCTTGGAGGGGTAGACGAGGAAGAACATCGTTCGTCGACTCTTCGAAAATCGGACGCCGTTCTTGTCGCGTCGCTGTTAATCGTTGTGGAGTTCTGCCGAAAAGCTACCTTTTTCCCCGTTCCTGCATTACGTAGCCTCTCTAAAACAATGAAGCGAAAAAACCAAGGTGTAAGTAATATCAGTCACCTATGAGGTGCTGAAATATCTTCTCTCTCACCTTCCATATCTTTCGTAAGCTTGAAGGATCCCCAGTTGAACATAATTGGAGATTGTGTCTGTCGGTTGTTGATGTTCATAAACTCAGGGAACTGTGAAGCGTCTATCAAATGTGCAATTGAGAACGCGTTCGCCTTAGGAGACAGCAACCCGGAGAGGTCCATCTAATGATAAACCGGCTGTTGACCGGTTTATAATGTGCAGTCCAAAGGCTACGCGTCTAACGGTGTTTACCACGCGAATTTAGACGCGAAAGATACGCAAACCGTGTGATGAGCCGAGCCTGTGCGCTTGTCTAAAGGCGGAATTTCCAGTATCTTGGGTTTTGCTCTCGAATTATGTCCTGCTGTCATTCATCATAGTCATTACGAAAACAATAACTGTCAACCACGCGGACAAACAGTCGAGTGGATAGTCTGAAGAAGATTGCAGTGGAATTACGAAGACGTGAAAATTTGGGTTTGTTTATAGCGCGATTTGGCCACTAAAGCGCTATTTTCGGATGCGACGAATAAATGAAATCAAGAATCTCCGAGCGGGTCAAGGATGATCTCATGTCCTTTATCCTGTTAAGAACGCAACAGGGCGACCGCATAATCACGCTGTGTAAATTGCCATCATTTGATCCGTGGGCAATGCTGTTGTTTTTGCACGTGAGACTTAAGAGCCATAAAACGCAATCTGTTCTTTAGGTGGCATCGCGGCTGTTAAAATTTCACATCATCGGGTAGTATGACCTAACTAACGCTCGAGAGAAGGTCATTAGCCATAGATGGCGAGATAGGAAAGGAGATTTTCACGAGAATAACTCATGATAAGCGACTCCCCTCAGCTGGGCGCAGCGTTCTTGAGGGGAGTGTTTCTGCGCAAACAACCAAATTGCAGGGTGCTAGATGTGTCCTTAATTGACATTGTTAAACAAACTGAAATGACAACAAGCGTACTGGTAAAACAATTACGCCATAATTCTTTGTTATCATTTTCGCTCCTTTTATTAACGAGGTGTCAATCAATTGGGGTGAGTGATTGTTGTTGCTTGGTTTGGCTTCATCGGGCGGTGAATTACAGGATTTCGAAAAGCATCTTTCATCGGCCATATTATCAGGACGAACTGTAAATGAATTCAAGAGAGCGGCTTTGCGTTCGCGCAAGATCAGGAAGTACGAGCGATATTCAAACGAAATAAAAGACAAAAAATGAAGGTGGTTACCCTCCGTGTCTAATGCCTAAGTTACTGAAATTCCATCACATTCACTTAATTCTCTGGCAAAAACCAGATGTCAAGAAAAGAATCGATTTTGCGAATAATCCCACCTTTTTATATCTACTCAGCTTCGATTATTCATTGTTTCAACGAAAGGTGTTCATCCATTTGGATTCAGTATGATCATACATTATTTTTACAAAGCATAAGGTTAGCCTGTTACAGCGATGGAAAAAAATAGTAAGCACTCATGTTGAAAACTTGATATTCGGAGCAAACACAAATGCTATTTTGAACGACCTCAGACATGTCATTTGACCGTCTTGAATTTCGACAAAGAACACACGTTCACGATTTTTTTACTATTTTCTTTAGATGTTAAAACGTGATAGTTACGGGGCAAGTTACTTCAAAGCCCAAACGGGAAAGTATCTCTATTTTTATTTCGAAAGAAACTGTTTCTGTAAAAATAATAGTTGGGACACTGTCGGAAACAAGTGTTATTGTTTTCTCAATTTTCTGTGTGCGCGAGATCAAAGCATTTGTGAGACACGGGGGCGTATTTCTGCTTACCACCAAAACTATTCAGAAATCCGCCCTTAGCGAAGGAGGAAATAGGTGTTTAAAAATGATGTTATATTTAAACTATTCCCAAAAAATTAAAGCGTATTTAACGTGGGATAATCATTCAAGATTATGAAAAGTGTTTCGAGGATTATTTAGTTCGCCCCACCCCGATTAAATCTATGTCCTTCCCCCAAAGGTGCAGTCATTAGCCAAAGAGTCGCACACTCAACTTCCCCGAGGATTTCATGTAATCTTAAAAGAAAAAAAATATTCAGTGGTGTTTTCTAATTTCATTACTTCCATTGAAGGCCCCAACAATTTTAATAAATAAAAATGGTTGACCTTACCACTAACTAGTAATATGGGGAACTTCGACCTCTGCAATTGTTTGCCGACGAGAAAGAAATTGGAAGGTGCCCAAGAATAATGATAAACCTACACAAGAGTTACTGAATGGGACCCTTAAGCGTTTCTATTTTTGTTATTGTCATTCCCGGCAGCGACATGCCATGATGTATTTTGGTTTTAACTTGCCGAATATTTTTTTATCTGAAGGTCAAAAAGGCCGCGCAGTGAAACGCCGAATTGCGAACAAACCGCAGCTAACGGCTGTCAAATGAAAAATGACTTGAAAAAGTTCTTTTTTTGTGAGCATAATTAAGAGTGGGTTGAGTTGCGACATCTGTGATTTATTTTTTTCCTTTTTTAACCTTCCCTTTTATCTGGATATTTAGTATGACTTACCGAGGAGGTGACATAATCATTCTCGCCAGCCACGCGCCTTCCCAGACCTCTTGTGGTGTTGGTGCGTGTCTTCTCGATAAATCGGAATTATTATCACGCATGGAATATGACTTGAACTATATCTTTAAAAACGCATTAGATTCAAGGTCGTCATTCAGCATTCAAGGGCATTGTTGACCCTTCAGTACTTTTGAACACACCAGGTGACCCTTGACTCAGAAATCATTCATCGACTCAATCAATTCTCCCGTTCTTAGCCGGGTAAAAAAGTGTTTAAGTCGTAGCAGAAAAATAATACATTTGACTTGAGTCTCGATGTCCTTGCTCAGGATCGTGTACGAGACCATACTTCAGGTATCTGTCCGGTGTAAAACCAATGGAGTCAAGAGAGATGCCGGGACGTAGAAAAAAAATCTGGGTCCCTCGTGAGAGAATAGTGGAAGTGTGGAGAGGTACTTACTGTGATTTGAAATGATAGAGAATCCCGGATGGCTCAACATAACATTATGACTGACTTCCCTTTTATAAATCTCGCCATTGGAGAAATTTCTAAGTCCGCTTAATTAGTTTGTACAAGAGTCATTCAACTCCAGTATTGCTTGTTGCTCTGAGAAAAAAAGATTCTCTCAAATTAATGAAACAAATCATATTTAAACCACGATGAGAATTAAAAACTGGTTGTAACAATTATCTGCCATTAAAGAAATTGCGAAAAAAGATCTGACGTAGTTTGAACCCGTGTTTCCGAGATCCTTGTTGAGCCCCACTACCAGCTGTGATACGAAGCCTCCTATCGGAGGCAAGGAAATTTTTCGCGGGGTCTTAAAAGAATAATCCAGGAAGTATAATAAGATCGAGGGAATCGTAAAGCAGACTGAAGGGAGAGGAAAGCCCGTCCCTTGGTTATCCTTCCTCTTCTTTTCAATTAATTCGATATGTGCTGGCTCAGGTTTTTCGACCGTACTCCTAGAGAGTTTCCAACTATCATTCGGGAATTATGGAAAACTTGGATTAACAACCGGATATGCCAAGATTTTGCGGTCGCAAAGCCGACTGAGTCAAACACACGTACACCGGCTTTTGTCAGCCTTATATTCTGAAAAAACATGAACTTAAATTACAACACAATACCTATTTCAGTGGTTTCGCTTTTTCTACCACTTGGAATCATTGGAGTGGAACGACGAGGGAGATTGGAATATTCCATAATTTGTGAGTCAGACAATTTTGAGTTTTCCCTCTCGCAACTCGTATCATATCTAAATTATTACTCTTGTATTGATTGCCGTCGATCTGAAATGCTTTGCATAGGTTCGAAAAGTCCCATACCTCTTCACATCAAAGAACCCGAGGTCGTTTGCGGCTTTGCGCTTGACCGCCACAAAAAATCTAAGGAATCTAATTTAGATTTTGTCTGGTCAGGATTTGTACAATTGAAGAAATGAGATACCATAGTTTTCTACTCAGGAACAAGAATAGATTTTTTAAGAGCAAGTAATATGCTAGCTGTCATATTGCCAAAACAGCCATTTTTTTACGTTTTTTCTTTCTTTAGAAAGTGTCGTATAGTAATGTCTAGCAACTATCCTCTGAAGTCCTAGCCGCAACTCGTCAAAAATAGGCCAGACAGAGCTCTCCGGAATTTTTTCCTTCAAGACGTTTTCAATTTGTTGTTTTCAATCAAATACATTATTTGCATTGCTGTAAATCTTCCTAATACTGTAATGATCAATCAACCAACCCGTTTTGTTTGAGACAATAATTGTTTTTTTTAATATTATTTTTTTTGGCCAGACGATTTTAGTGAGATGGAAAAACCATGAAAAATGTCGCGCACAATCCAATTCCATCGTTTTTTTTTATGTAATAGCTATCCTCATTTAGAAAATTTCTCAACTTTCAAAGTTGACTCTTGAGATAACAAAATGATGGGCTTCCTAGCCATGATGCTATATCAACAGAAAATGAATTGAAATAATTCCAAAAAAATGATGTGAGTGTATGGAAATTGTGAAGGAAATATCAGCCGCCTAGAGTGAAATCATGTAATTTAATTGAATTCAATTTGAGAATGTAGCCGATTTAAAGTGCAGTATGAGGTGCTATATCGTTATAAGAAGTAGGTTGCCATAGATTGAGTAACGCAAGCATTGCATACCAGTGTAATGGAACGCATTTCGATTGAGTGTCAGGTGGAACCAAAACTGACCAAAGTCATCACAACAGTCAATCATAACGAAGATTAGTATCACAAGGAGTCAATGCGTTTTCAAAGGAAAACAAGCAAACTGCCTGAAGCGCGCGAAAACGTGAGTTATTAAGTCGCAATTGACATTAGTCTTGCATCTGATTGGTCAAGAAGGTAGCGCGAATTCTTTGAGCCAATTACGGAACAATATGAACAAAAACTGATGAATTCCCAGATGACTTTGGACTCTCAGCTGAGAAGTGCTCTGTGATATGGTTTGAGTAAATCAGCTCAATCCGTGGTATTGATTCAAGTAAGCCCTGCTACATACAGCAGGATTAACATACACCTTATATCGACTCTGGCATGCCTCCAATAGGCTTCCTCTCTCTCTCTCTGTAAGGCCGATTGTCACCTGTTGTCAATCACTTATTGAAATTATCGATCTGGGTTTAGAATTTTATTGCAATTATTTTAATAAACGGAGTTCTGATGTCCTGAGGCGTATACGCATACGAACGGCTCAAGGACAAAGTCGACGATCCCTCAATTTAGAATGAATAGATGTTTGATGTACCACCTCACATTGAGAGATGCCTCAAGGTAAATTCATTTCAAAAGGGGAGATCATCTGCAACATCGAATGTTATTCGTTGTCGTGCTGTTTTCATCAGCTGCGAACTGTAGTCTTTAGACGGAGAAAATGCCTTAGGGATAAAGTGTAGAAGAGGTTGTCTATCGACAAGGCAGAGGTATCTGAAGAAAAAAAATTAAAATAACTCAGATGAATCCTTCTGTGCTGGTGGGCATACCGCAAACAATAAAAAAACAGAAGCGCTTAAAGGACACTGATGCGTCGTTTTTTTTAGTGACAGACTGTTTTTACGTTTTTTCAAATTTTTCATGGCAACTGATATGTTTAAGTTTAGTCAATCAAATGAGCATTAATCTGCATGACGTGCCAGAACTCATGACCTTCTCCAGCTAAGAAAAACATCGGTTGCTTGTGTTGGTCCTTGTGGTGAAATGCCTTTAGCCCTTAGGCTACAAAAAAACCTCTCTTATTTGCTTGCGACGTACTTCCTATGTTAATTCCGCGTGCGTTTAAAATAAAACCCGTGTTATTTGAAGAAGCAATCTTGGTGGCCAACAGAAATAAAAAGTATTCATTTAATCATATTGAGAGAAGAGCACGGGGGCGGTGTTGAAAAGCAAGTTTCGCACGTGTGAAGTTTTGCTACAGATTAGGGACACCCGATCAGCTTCGAAGAGTTTAATGTTAGGCCATAAAACAAGAGCACACTTCATTGTTTTACATTTGAGGTTGGTGTAATCAAGTAAGAAAGAACATGGTGGCCGTAATGCGGTGGGGGGGGGGGGGGGGGGCTAACGAGGGGTGAGACGTCTTCCTCTGAGAAGTAAAACTGTAGCCCAAGCAGCTAGGCAAGGCTTCCGAGTCTCTTTATTATTACTCCTACCTGATACTCACTATGCAATGTATTTTAATTGGCTGGCCTAACGTAGGGATTTTTTTTTTCGCCCCCATAATCCTTAGTGACCCTGTAATGACACCATCGACTGACTCGTCAAACATTTCTTATAAAGTCTTGCTTACTATAAGCACTTTTTTTAAGTTTCAAATCTCTGAGTCAAATCAGAATCTTAAGTTGAAAGTGTACCGTCAACTTTCCAGCTAGTTCACTGCAAATTATCTAAGTTTCTCGAGAAAAAAGAATCACCACGCCCATGACAGCTTGAGAAGTCAAGTACAGGTTCCAGTCCTTTTTGATATTGTCAATATCAGTAAGAATTGTTCGACATCTCAGACAAGAAATTTCATCGCAGTTTTCCACAATCGGTTGGAGGTGAAAGAAAACATATTTCTTTGAGATAGGCACGACCATTCCAGTTCAGTTCACCGATGTTATCCTGACCATTAGAAGTAATGATAATTTAAATCTGGGTAAAAGGCTCTATAGACTCTTATGAGGCAACAAGCGTCGCAGGTGCAACTGATCAAAACATACTAGAGATTGGTTTACACGAAGTTCTCTCATTCTGGGCAGCTAATACAGAGGGAGAAATAATATTCACCCTTACAACCTTGTTTATGTCATGAGGGCATGCCAGACAGTCTACGACTGCAAATTGATCTATCTAAAAGGTCGTTCCATGTCTGAGAGTCTTATCAACAATATCTCTGTAAGAAATAGGTAAAATGCTTTTTCTTTTAAACTATTATGATGATATGTTGAAAATATTAAATTTCTCCGGTGCTCCGGTCTCAAATGAAGGTTACAACACTGCCTTTAAAAAATCATAAATCACTTGTAATCCACTTGGCATAAGGTTCAACATCGGCCCATCCGTTTACAATAGAAACCTGAGAAAAAAGTTTATTGCCGTTTCTCTAGCGTTCCTCCTTTGAAAATGGCTAATCTTTCCAAAATTTATTTAATCACATCGACAGCGAACTTTTAGCCTAAAATTGGGACAGGCAACATTTCACACGCGCGTCTGCCCCGCGCGCACGTATGTGTTTGGTAGCTTAAATACACATAAGTGTAATAGAAAGCGATAGCCGATGCTCAGATTAAACAAGTTAATTCCTCGGTCCATCTCGATCATACCTCTTATCATTGTAAGTATAACGTTGTTGAGATTTCACTGATATTTCTGCTGACAGATTTATATAATGTCGTGCTTAAAGCGCCAATGTTCCTTGCTAGGGGTCAAAACGACTCCCGGGCTGCGATGAACGATGATCGTTTTTTTGTTCTAAATATACATCGATGTATTAATTTATTGTATAACATTTGGTTTCCTCGTTTTCCGTCTTGAAAATCATTTGTTTTCTTTGCAAAGACGTGTTATTTGAGTCGAGCAAATTTTCATGCGAATTACCTTTTGTATTTCTTCAAACTGAAAAACATTTGGAAAAATTTCTGTGTTTCGTGTTCCTGGGAGGAAACAACAGACATTGCCTTGACGTTCCATAAATGTTTCATCCAATGTTGGGTACACGGGTTTTTTTTGAACAACAGAAAAACAACAACAGTAAAACAAATGCATACTTGAAAACTAACGGATTACCGCGTATTTTGTCGAGTTAAGTGTGATAATGTCGTTGTGGAAAACGGATTTCATCTACAGGGACTCATTTACACCTGGTTTAGAACAAGTTGACTGACAGAACGCGGCTGATTAAGACAGCATCTGCACCTAGTGAGCCAACCATGATGAGGTTGTGACCTCAGGCAATATAAGAGTGACTTTTAATAAAGAAAATACATTAACAACTTTTCGTTCATCAATCCACTCCAAAATCCAAACCAAATGTCTTCGAAGAACAACCTAAGATCCATTGATATGTAACTGAAGCACTATTCTGAGATAAGTGTACGGTTCGGTGCGGCGTGCATACTCGGAGGGTCGACTGGCTGTGTTCGAATCGTCAATCTAGAGCCTGAAAAATTCTATCCGCCACCACTGACAATATGCTGTCAATTAACTAATTAATGGTCAAGGGATATCTTCCAGCCGCTTGACAAGGATTTTTAACAACACGCATGATTGGGTCATCCAGGCACAACGACATCAGTACAGACCGAATCACCAGACGACGTGAATCAGCCATCAGTTATAAGCAGCCAACTCGACCTTTTATCAGGTATTAGCTTCATGTTATGGACAGTTCGGGATTTCTGTCTCCTAAGGCGAACGCTTTCTCCATTGCACACCTGATCGACCGAGCACAGCTCGCAGACCTTGCGTTTTTGCGCGGCCAGAATCCTAACTACAACTGGAACTCGCAAGTTCTACTGAAAGATATGGAAGGTACAACCATAATGCGCGCGCGCGCTATCAATCAAATTCGAGTCCGGATAGATTTTGGCACTACCTTCCCTGCGGTTTTCCTGGGAGTTGATGAGTGTCTGAGCTTATAATTTGTTTTGCAGAGCGCCTGATGAACGTAGGAACGGGTAAGAGAGCACCAGCCAGAAGAGTCAACCAACATATGATGCCAGAGGACTCTGACGAAGAAAGCGATGCGGGACACTCCCCAGTATCAAACTCCCCGCCACCTCAATCTTCCTGCTCTCAAGCTGTGGCATCTAGGCCATTATGCAGCGGACTGATCAACGCTCGAGTAGACTTGGAAATGAAGAGTTTATGGGAAGAATTTCACGGGCTCGGCACAGAGATGATAGTGACGAAGGCGGGAAGGTAACCAATCACGAATTTATTTACATTATCCGTTTTGGGGGCATTTAGGCCCTCTGGTTCCACTTCAATTTTAGACTTATCAAGGTTTAATCCAGGGTGAAGTAAACGAGCTCTCGTTTTGTTATCTCAAGATTCTTTAGAGATGCAGTGGTTTTTTCGTATCAGATTTCAAATAATGGTTTCCGTGATTTCAAGGGGAGAATCGATTCTCTTTAGGTTTCAAGCGAGACCGACCCAAGATCTGTAGTTACATCTCAGACATGAACACTGAATGAAATGAGAGTCTAAAAGTCAATTTAAGAAGCGTGCGCTTAAAACCTCCTTTTAATTGGACTGGAAAGATAGACAATGCTTTTGAAGTCCCGGTTTACACTGCTCGATCCTCGGCCATCTTTCATCAGAAATGAGGTTTCGTTAATAAGACACGAGTAGGTTGTCCATTGTCGCGTTATTTCTTTAACAAGCGATGGTGTAAAACAGCCGTGAAAGATTTATTATGTGGAAAGAAACCTTATTGTAATTACACGAATTGAAACACCGGACGGAATAGACCATAAGTTGCTCGTTGATGGATGTCGCTGGTAAATTAACCGAAAACAATACAGCAATAAAAACACTGGCAATAAAAACGTAGGTGAAAATGGGATATGGATTATCAATCGGAAACATACGTGTCAGGGAGTTTTCACATTCTTTATATACAAGTAACCATGAAGCAAGACTTAGTAAAACTCGAAGTGGTGATAAGTCCAAAAGAGTTGTGTTCTCTCCTTTTAAGATTTCACGATTCACGATTCATGTCCGGACAAGAGACAATTTTACAATGCTTCCTATAAGACGAAGGCTTGTGCGTTCTTGCTGAATTAAATTAGCCATTTCTACAGGATTGTTCGAAGTACATCTGACCTCTGGTATTTGCAGATCATTAGAAATTCAATATGCTGTACTATATTTGGTCAAAAACTGGTAAGGATTCGTAGCAGCGGGAGAGTTTCTGCAGAAGGAAACCAGAGTGATTTTGACTGAAAACAACCATCGAAGTGATTTGAGAAAGAATCCCTAATATCCTACGTGTTAATACATATTTCTAGTTCCACCGGTCAAGTTTCTGTATCATTTGAAGGGTGTGACGTCAGGGATAATTAAGTTACCTTTGAAAAGTTATCTCTCAAAACTTTGAAATATAAAGCCAGAGAATGCAAACTAGTGGTTTTCTTTTTTGTATCAGCAATACACTCATCGAACCTTATTAAAAAGAATTTTCATTCTTTGCAACAGACAACATTTCCTCTGAAGTCGTTTACACTACTGGTGCGATTGGAATAATAAGTTCCGGAAAACCTCACGTGTAGAACTGAAGATGTGGTTTTTTTTCATTTTAATGTTAAAACCTTCCTCATGAATTGTATAGCATTTAACACTACTGCATTGTCTGGAAAATCCATCAGTAACACGTGTGAGTCAGCCAAAGATTTTTACCTTCTGCTTTTCATTGCTTCGCTCTTGATGAATTTGATTGAAAATGACAATCGAATAATCATTGAAGGTCAGGGAAGGTCTTCCTCCTGAAAAAAACTGTCATGGCAGAATTGAGACTTAATCTGTCCTGGAGGATAAGTGAATCATAAAATCCAATTATCATAATTGGACAATGGTGGCATTCTGTAAATTACAATCTATGAATTTTTTTTAATTCTAAAATTTAATTAAAATTTTCCCTCTTCAAACCTTTGTCATTGTAGCCAAGAGTATAACGTGTACAATTGAATATTAAGTAGTCGTTTCTCGCTTATGAGAGGGCTAATATATAAGCAAGAGTAAAATCCGTAGTGATCAGTCACTTTTAATTCTTCTGCTCAAAAAAAGGGTCCAACTGACCATAAAAGACACGGAAAAGATGCTGAGAGAGACATCCATCAATAGAGCTTTCCCTCGATCTCTCATGAATTCACTTATTGCGGCTCATATCTTTACCCAGGAAATCAAAAACCATTCGAGCGCGTTTTGACTATGTGTCCTTGAACGAAACTAAAGTGATTTCATTAGCCAATCAAAAAAAAGAAAAAGAAAATGCTAGAAGGAGCCTGCGAGAATCCCAGGAAAAACAAACAAACTGTTTGAACCGCGTTAAACTGGCGCGAGTGATTGAGTCGTGATGGTTTCAGTTTGCTTATTTTCTTAACAATTCAGTAGTGAAGTAAGGCGAAACCAAAGCGAATTTCGGGTTCCTCTCTATACTTGATTAAACTTGCTCATGTACCTCATGTACAGAATATAAATCTCACACCAGTGTCTTGCTCATTACGATTGAATTAAGGGTTTTTTTCCCCTGAACGTCGTTGGTTTTTGCCCATAAGACAAAACTACTGTCATGGTTTCTATCAAACTTAAATCCTTCCCCATGTTGCGAAATCGACTCCAACGATTTTTGCATAGCTACCTTAAACTTGAGGCTTCCACGAGTAGTTGTCAAGTTACCTCTTTAGTATATTCATTACATAACACTCATATCGCCCAATTCTCGTTACTAATCAAAGAGGTAATGAATAGCTGTTAAAAGGAAGAGTTATCGATCATATTTTGAGAGTGTAAAGGTTAAAACTAAGTGAAAGTTCTTGCTGCAATTTTGCAATACCTCTGGTCTTTTTCAGACGCATGTTTCCAACATTTCAAGTGCGCCTTCAAGGTCTGGACCCGTCGGCTAAGTACATCCTAATGATGGACTTCATACCAGTCGACGATAAACGTTATCGGTACGCTTTTCACAGTTCCAAGTGGCTGGTGGCAGGCAAAGCAGACGCCAGTGTACCCGGGAGAGTACACATTCACCCTGACTCACCCTGCACTGGACAGCAATGGATGAAACAGATCGTGTCTTTTGACAAACTTAAACTCACCAACAACCTTATGGATGACAACGGGCATGTAAGTCCTAAGACACTGTCTATATCTATAGAGTTGAGCTCATCGATCAACTCTAAATGATCACCTTTATTGAGAATATTTAAACTGCATTTATGTTTAGAAGTTCCTTAACTGGTTTTGAACCCGCTTTCCTGTTTCGCTGAAGATATCTTTGTACAAGTTCTTTGCCCAAAGAGTCTGAAAATACACAAAGGCGCAAGTTGTTGTCGCTAGATTTCGGTTTCTGATTGGTAAGGACAATCTCTTCAAGCAAAAATTTCGGCATGCTCAAAGGTCGAGAGTGCGTCACTGTCATAAAAACTTCAGAGTCGAAATTTTATGCAGAAAGTTGAAATCAAACACGCATTATTGCGAGTAATCAAATCATTCCTCATACAATTCAGAGTGAATGATGAAGAGAGATTTGCACCAGCCCGTAATAAAGGAACTTGCGCCTATTTATTCTACCATATTGCTCTCGAAAAAATTTGACTATTTTTTCATAAACGCAGCTTTTGCATAACTGTGTCACTTGACCTTGTCAGTCATCAAAAATGGTTGTGGTACGAAATCGATATCAAAAATGGACAGTGCGTGATGAAATTCATGTACACGCTGTGGCTGAAATTAGCTTCATCCCTGTCAGCAGAGTCTGACGACACAAGCTGACTGTGTATGACGCAAATCTAGTTTTCTGATGATATTTTAAGGCAATCAGTGATAAAGAAAACAGATTGATTTAACAGGCGACGCAGGATTTTCGACATCTAAAGCCACCTTGAAGGCGGCCAGGAATATTTTCCACCTGATCCTAAACGTTTTTGCGTCTAAGATTTCAGGAAACGCTTTATTTTTTGTACGCATTAGGTTAACTACATTAATCGTTATGTTTAATTCAATTTTGTAATCTTGTAGAGCTGCTCTGAGTGCCAACAGACTTTATCTCGTGATTTTAACTGCTCTCTGACATTTCATTATGACGGCGAATTTTTGTTGAAGCAAGCACAAGAGGGGGTGAAAACTGCAAATGCAGCCGACAAATTTCATTTTGCAGCCTTTAAAACTTCGTGCACGCGGCTAACACCTGTCTTCATGATTAGCAAAAGTAGTTTTCATCAGTTAAGTGGGTTAACCGTGCAAAGTCCTTGCCTAGACCATTATCTATCATCTCACTTACAGAGCGATGAATGAGTTTTTTTAGCGAAAATTTGGGATGATTTGGCTGTCGAAAGATCTTATTTTTCAAAGCGTAAACCGCTTTTACGGTGCGTGTGGACATGTGATTCTCACTTTCACTGCACCTAGTTCCGTCTTCCTTACAATCAAGTGCAGTAATCCAGGATTATGTCTCCCAAGTAGAACTCAATAATCAAAATGCAATGTTTTAAAATCACATTGGCAAATGATCATAATATTGGCTTTTTCACCTTATTTGGCTGTTTTTGCGGAAGGCGGGAGGTGCGGTGTCAAAACATTCCTATTTCAAGTGAAGGGTGTACATACCGGATATTGCTTAAATATGTTCCATACAAATTTGGCTTAAGTGGCCCGATTCGATGTTAATCTTTCCCTTTCCAATTTTCTTCACAAAATTTGCCCTATTTAAAAAAAAAAATAAGACGCTTGCGATTTTAATCATACGGACTCGACTTGGAAATCTTGGGCTGCAGACAAATGACATGCTAAGGATCTGGTTTTGTCATTGCCAACTTCTCCAAGGGGAGGAGATTTTAATCAAAACATGGTACACGTACTGTTTGTGTACATCTAGGGGTCCTTTTGGACATGACGATAAAAACGTTCAAAAAAGTTTTAGCAGAGTTCGAACATTTCAATCGTTGGCGATGTACTGGTAAAATGGATACCAAACGTTCAGTTACCCGTAAACACATTTGTTTAATTTGTTTATTAGGGATAATCCAATTTGTTTTTCCGAAAAATTCTCTAGAATTAAACTGACTCCTTATGGGGGATTTAGAGTGAGCGGTTAAAGTTCCCAGAATAGAAACGGAAATTAGAACACTTTTGAAACTACCATCAAAGAACCTCCCTGGGTGATACTCCCGCGGCCTCCAGCTCTAGAAAACGACCGAGGAACATCACGGCGACCACCCTCTTTACCCTTTCGCTCCCAAGATCCCAACATCAATTCTCCACACTTTTTTACTTATATTCCATATAATTTAAGTTATGAGAATTTGATGCTAAATCAAACAACATCCTTCTGTTGATGTTTTCTCTCTTTTCTTGTTCCCGTCACCTTTTTGGTTGATATTTCGTTGATCTTGTGAGGAGAAATTCGTTATTAATCACTATTGGGAGAGAAAGGGTTAAGGTTTCCTCTTCTCGATACATTTACAGAATTGAGTGCCTGTCTTAACCAAAGGTAGTTTTAATTACTTTATTGATCGTAATAACGCTTTCAAATTTCAAAACTATGCTTTTGGAGCCCAGTTTCGGTTCTGTTTTGCCTTACTTGAACTCGGACGTTTTAACTCCTTGGCCAATTACCTCAAAAACAAAGTTAAAAAATGAACAATAACTGAATGAAATTCAGTTGCTCGTGCAAATCAGTTTCCCATTATTATATCTTGTTCGATACTTCCCAAGCAGCTTGACACTTGCCGTGTGTTTTGCCAGGCTTTCTTTATCAGGTTGCATGTTCTTGGGCGTTGTCTTCTATTCAATCTCGTTCCTGGGGTCCGTTTTCTCGCATTTGAAGGGAAAGAAACCGTGCACTTGCCACAAGCTGCACGCTTGCCCGCGCTTAACGCAGGAAATGTGTGGTTCCGCGTCCGGTGCCAAGAGCCCCTGCTTTCAAGTAGAATTCTGACCAGTCTGTTATGTACGGTTCATCTCGCAGATCATCCTTAACTCAATGCACAAGTACCAGCCAAGATTTCACGTGATTCTTGACGAATCGGAGAAAGGAAATTCCAGGGCGAGTCTCCATGAAACCAACAAGGATCATCTACGAACGTTCATCTTCCCTGAGACACAGTTCATGGCCGTCACAGCTTATCAGAATCACATGGTAAGTTTTTTTCTGTTTTGCTAAATCGTACGGGGCGTCAGACCATATTCCACGCCAACTATGTTTAAGGGACGTTTAGTGGCTGTATATGGTGATTTGTAGTTCTGTAGTTTATATGAGTTGTTCAAAGCTCAAGAAACATCAATCCAGGATTATACTCCATGGTCACATACAGTTTTTCCATGTGCTTAACCTGGGACAGGTGCTGATCGGGTCTCGATCAAAACAACTCTAGAACATGCCTCTGGCAACCTTTTTCTTCCTCATTTGTTTTCCTCGCAGAGTAAACAACTTATATCAGCTGCAGCACTAAACCTTTAATTCCGTGGTCAGAGACTATCGCTATGTCATGTATGTTTGGCAAAAATGCATTTTGACGTTTGGCATTCAGAGTTTTGTTTCAGCAACATTTTTTTTTTTTCAATCGACCAGAATTTTTTTCAGTGGCCTTCAAACCTTTTATCGCGTTCTTTTCGCTTTTGCTGGCATACTTTACGTTCTGATGAAAATGTTCAAATAGATTAGTCTTTTTTTAACTCTTACATCTCTGTAATTCATTACTTAATCAACATAACTTTTATGGAGAGAAGTCGGTCAGAACAAGTTTTGAAATGGCGAGAGCGGGTAGTTTAGGATATTTAAGTGATAGACTTCATCGTGTTTGTCCAGTGTTAAAATTTCAACTTAGCCTCATATTTCAGATCATCAATTTGCTAGATTTCCATTGTAATGTTGCAATCGTTTTATGATAGGTCTATGGTGCAAACTGTTATGGGGCAGTTTTGAAAAGTCATAATCTTGAGCAATTTAGATTTGGCTTTTAAGGAACAAAAATTAAGGAAATTTGAAGAATCCATCGCGACTTTACATTAGTCTTGAGCAATCTTCACTCAATCACCCCAACTGACTAAAGGAACTGATCATAAAAACACGAAACGTAGACACGGATTTTCCTAAATTCAAACAATAGGTTGAGAACAGATTTTTGCTTTTAGCTACATAAGGTGTCTTCCGATCCTCTTAAAGAACTTTGATCCTCAGAGAAACACAATCTCTTGACCTTTTGTGTAAATCTAAACAAACGTGTTTTTTTCATGTATTTCAATTAAAACCCACCACAACCAGAAGTATTCTATTGAAATAATCGGATTTCAAGAGGATTTTGTCATATTGGATTAGCACCGCAACATAATTAAGTTGTCCTATTTATCGCCTGAAGGCACAAATCTCACTGTGAGAACATCAGCTGGTGATGTCAAAAGACTATCACTCATGTTGTAATCCTTGAATAGTGCCGACTGCTGTGACAAGTTTACAGCGCAATTACATTCCTTCAAAACATATAACAAGCTAAGTCATTTGCCACATAGGAAAGTTCTTCTCTAGTCTCAATTTGGCTTGGACTGTAGTTTGCTTTTAAAACTTACACTCGTTTAGCTTCGAATTGGTTCTCTTCCATTGTCTATGCTATCTTCGACAAAAGTGTCGTAATCCTTCGTTTGATATTGAGCATTGCAAAGAGAGAAACTTTCCCGGCCAGTTTATCCCAAACATCTTTCCCCTGTTATTCTGAAAGTGGCCACAATACGATATTAGAAAGAGATTGGTCGATATCTCCAAGTACAATATGAATGGACAAAACAGAAAGCGGTCTTTTTTTTCTGTAATTCTATCTCAATTTAACATTCCCCAGCCATTTCTATACAATTGACCTTAAAAAGAAAAAACACACATTGTTTGGCTGTTACGTGAGGGGACAACATACCAAACATGGCTCTGTCCACAACACCCTTTAACAGCTCTTAACCACAGCCTGATTAGATTATATACTATCACAACCCTTTATCGGAGTAATGCTTCTTAATTTCGCAAAGTTTGAGTACCTACTTTTGACTTAAGTATAAGCTAGTGAGTCATAAAGATATCAACATTAATAATCCTCTAGGACTAGTAAAACCATTACTGAGACTAGGAAAAGGTCAATGTCCCTTCGGCTGATAGGCATAGGTTATCCAATACGTACTTAACTTGGCGCAAGACACGTCTATTGATTAAAAAGCGGTATTTTAATTGATGATGAGGTTATAAAAACACATTCGGTTTTTCTATTGCATTCCGAGAGCCTGTGGCTGATTTCAGACATAAACCATGCTCACAGATTAGTTTTTAGGGAGAAGTGACCGACGCGAATGCGTTTTGAACAAGAATAGTTCACACGAAAAGGACGGGTCTTGGCCATGTTTTTTTTTTTTTTTTAAGTGGAAAACTCTTGGAATCAAAACAGTTTCAATGTTAAAAATTCATGATTTTGAGCCTCTTTTTCATACTAAGTCGCAACACTCATAATTATTCCTTCATCGGGCTTTTGACTAGTACAAAGTCTTTTTGGCAACTATTTTTTGCTGTCAAATTTTCTAGGTAAGATTTGAGGAGTAAGAGACACTCCCTGATTAGCAAACTGAGGTAGTTTAATCAATTTACGAAGTAATGCCTTTGATTATGTGACTGACTACAAAGGCCAATTATTTGCAGGAACTCTAAATAATTACTTGTCTTACTAGTTGAATTGAGAACAAAAAGCTGCTTAGCACGTTTTCATGCACAAATGCAACAGCAAAAAAGGAATTGTTGTACACAAAAGCAAAGAAAACTTTCTGAACGATCTGTTGGATAAGAATAACCCTAGAACTTCTTAAATTTCTTTGACAATGCTCCTTGACGGGTCATCTATTCACGAAAATTTATTCCTTTTGTTTATTCTTGCTCAAGAAGTGGCAGCTATAATCAGTGCTATCTACGCTATCAAGAAAAACTCTATGAGTTAAATGTTTTCAGGGAGACCTCACTACAGCACAAATGCTCCTCAAATCTTGAGAAAATTGTAACTTTAATTAAGCAAGCTTCTACTTTGTACCCTCAGGCAGTTAACCCTTCCGGAGCATATAGTAAATCTTAATAATACTTAACATGCCTTCGACTTTTTCGATTCAGATAACACAGCTGAAGATCGCCAGCAATCCATTTGCCAAAGGGTTCCGAGATTGTGACCCGGATGACTGGTGAGCACTTTCATGAATTTTTCTCATAAGTTTTGTCAGATTTCTGAAAACGTTTTTGTTTCCTTGAGACTTTGAATTCACTATTTTCAGGACACCATTTTATGTCGGGCTAAACATTCTAAAAGCGAAATTGAAAAAAAAATTTACCGGGTCATTGTGCCTCTTTGAATCTCGTGTGACGAAACTCTTAATTACATTTAAAATAGTCCATTTAAATGACTGCAATGTTCTTTCTGAATGTCGAAAGTAATCCATGATTGCATCGGTTTTGCTTTGGTACGCTACCGGGATCAATATCGGTATCTGGGCAACTGACCACCTACCCCTCCCCTAACTCAACAATAGTCAATTGACAACAAATTAAGGTTAATGTTGGGTTAGGGGAGGGGTAGGTGGGCAGTTGCCCAGATACTGATATTGATCCCGTTACCGCCATTATCTCAACTAATCAAACGCAAAACTAAAAGCAATCGTTACTTATCACTAGCCATGCATCAACATCTGCATCTCCAGCGCTTCAAGACTCCTAGGGAATTTATTTATGAACATGTAAACTAGTTTTACTGTAAATTTAGAATTAACTTAACGATTTAGTCCTATTACAAATTAGGTTAGAGTGTTCCTAAATCCAACTGGATTTTATTATTGTAAATATAGATTTTAGATTAAACTTATACCTCCTAGTATAGTTTTAACTGTTTTAGGAACACCTCTCATAAAGATTAAAGATTAAAGTGATATCAACCTGGTTCTGATCGGCTGTTTTGTGGCAATTACAAGTGTACTATTATCACAGTAAATTCACGAATTGAGCTGCAGATAATCACTTAGAGAAAATTATTCCAATATAATCTTTTTTCATACTAAAATGCAGTGTTATGGAAGTCATGAAACAACTTGACCAGGGAGAAATCTCTGCGACCGCTCGTGCCAGGTTACATGGGGACATGGTATCTCAAAGAAATGAACCTCAAGTACCTCGGCCTCAGGCTCCCCGGCCAGTGCCTCCTGTCAGCGCTGTAAATCCAGCCTTCACCTATCCAGGTGAGATAACGTTTAAATTTGTTGGCTTAAATTAGCTGTCCAGGGTTGAGTCTGTGCCGTAGTCTTATCAGAGATTAAACTATGGTAATCCACACTTCGTTTGTCTTAGGTCCGTATGAAAATAGAGGAACTCCGCTGACGCACATACCCAGAAATCTCCCGAACTCTTCGCCTCCCGGAGGATATCTACCTATGATGCCTCAAATGATGGGCCACGTGGGCCCTAACCCGATGTCGCCGACTTCTCCGACGAGCCCTGGATATGGCCAGCGCACATATCAATCATTACGCATGCACAGGACAATGCCATATCCCACAAGGCAAAGCAGGTCTTCTTCAAGCGATGAAAGTTGCCCATAGAAACACACCTGAAGTTTAATACATTGAATTAAAGCCGAATCTCACGAAAAGAATTTGCAGTTATAATGACATTTTCTTTAACGAATGTAAAAGGCTAAAAGGTGATGCTTGTACATAAACAAAGACAATTGAAATATACGGCATATTGCATCTTTTTTCAAACAATAACTTGCCTTTTTTGTTTCCTCAATTCAAAGAAGAAAAGAACAGAGACCACCATACTCGTTTATTTGGAAATGACAATTTGTTTCGCTATTGTCTTAAGTTCTCGTCCAAATCAAGCGGTGTAATTATGTGCAGTAGAGATTCACATCTTGTGATCATGTTTGTTTTTTTTAATAACCAATTGGATACCTAAGTTCTGCGTCTGCGCATTTGTAAACAGTAACGTGCCCTCGTATGCGCAAGGAGAAGCGAACATCACAAGAAAGTATTCACGAAAAAACCCGGTAAGTCGCTTTAGTAAAAAACCGTAGTAAATTTCTCAAGTAAAAGCTGGAAGTAACCTGGTTCTTCTAAGTAAATCAGAGAAATATGAAATTAGCGTCAGTTATTTCAACTTTCATCCAGTCAAATCAAGTATAATTCTCTAAACTAGAATTTCGACTCCACCATCTGCGCGAACTCCAAACTCGAGAATGTACGCCGCCTTCATAACAAAGACAACACCTCACGTTACACGTAAGTGACGGAAATAACCTCAAAGTGTTACTACTTCCGGCATTTCGCAAAAAAAAAATGTATAACTATTTAGTGACCTAATGGACCCTACCATTTTTAAACATAGGATTTTTTTTTGCTGGTACTTGATCTACGCTTGATTCCAATGTCTACTGTTCTTAGCACGTGCTTTGCTTCAATTTCTTGACAATTTGCATTTTGTATATTGAAATAAAAGCCCTGCAAGGGTCAATTAGCTAAGTTTTCAGTTCCGGCGACTTTAAAGTTCAGAGGACTAATTCGTATTTATCCTCTGTGATGAAATCTTGACCACATAATAAAACGTTCAGAGTTCACCTTGAATCGAATCAACGAAACGACCCCTCCAGCAGTAATAATGAACTTGCGCATAACAGACAAAGCCTTGTATCAGGTACTTCTCAGACCTGCTCACTTACGACTGAGGTATTATGATATTCTTCGGAGTATCCATTTAATTGAGCAAAGTAGTAAGCCGAGCACTTAAGCAAGCCGTGGTATAGACTCTTTAAAATGTTGCATATGAAGTGCACACACGCACTGAAGGTTGTTTAGTTACTAGCTCCTGTGTTCATGTCGCGTTAAGCCGGCTTTCGTCTCTCATCTCTTTCAACCTTGTCATAAGCTTCCTAGTGTTCTCCGAGCGTTCTTCCTCGTCCATTCTGTCCCAATCGTCGGTGTTAAGTTCCCTGCCGAACAACTCTCTTTCTGCTTCTTTGTACTGGTCACTGTTTGTCTGCAAAGCGTCTTTCGTGATTATATCAAGATTTTTCCGCTGTTCCTCTGAACCGTGGGCCACTGCAAATAAAAATCATACTTCTAACAAGACGATTCGTTTCAGGCTTAATAACTGTCCAATTAGAGTTGACACCCGCGGGTACGCTTAGGATTTCGGGAGTGCGCGGAGATCCCAAAGACGATAGGTTAAAGTCATTAATGCAAGAAGTCCCGTGGAAAAAATACTTGAAAGCAGACTAAGATTGATTTCGTACTGTTTCAGTAAAATTTTTTCCTAACCACAAACCGCAACGGGTTGAGTTACACCAGGATTTTTATTGGAATTATCTCTTACCTAAATCTAGGCTGTGAAGCGTCGCTCCTAGTAACGACCGAACCATGTCCTCGACCTGTTGACGCGATGCTCTCGAAAGACGAGGACTGGGGTTTACTGGAGTTGGCTCCTTCACTGAAGGTGCACCAGAGGAGCGTATAGCAGGGCTGGTGACTGGAGTAACTCGTTTTAGTCTCGCAAGTTCGACTTGCAACCGTGCAATCTCTTCATCCTTCTTCTTTTCCACAGATGATCGCTCTTGTCTTTCACGTTTGAGCTCTTTCTCGAGCGCTACGATTCCTTCCTTTTCACGTTTTTTCTGTGCTTGAAACTCTTGCCTCATCTCCTGTTCACGACGTCGCATCTCCTCCTCTTGTTCTTGCTTCTTCCTGGCTTCTTCTCGTCGATGTTCCATGAGTTGTCTCCGTCGTTCCTGTTCTCTTTCCTCGCGAGTCTGCCGCCGGTCTTCGACTCGCTGACGAGTGGGAGGCTGCCCCCGGAACCACCCAGACCAGGGGTGCGCAGACCTACCAACTGCTAAAAGTTAAGACACAGATGAGACCACAGATCTACGCCAAGCATATCTGCAGACAAATGCTGAAAATTATGTGATATACATCTCTTTCTTAACAAGGTGGCCGTTTACGGTGCGCGGTAAAAAGTGGAGGGGAATCAGAGACTTACCGCAGCCCACAACCCTTTGACGAGCACCTGTTCACAAAACTCCTTTTTTCTCTCTCTTTTTAGCACGGAAAGTGGCACAGGAAAAAACAATTACCGGAAACAGTTTAATATGCACCAATCCTATTTTCTAGGGCGAAAAATAGACGCAACTTGAAAAATTACCATTGGCGTAACTCATTCAGCACCTTAGACGAGTGAAGTTTCAAAGTTTTACCACCTACTCGAATACTCGTTCATTTTCTCATAAATAATTCATAGCTCCTTCTTCCCAAGCTACGTATGAAGTTTGATCCCCAAATGGGATCCCTAGCTGAATTTAGGCATTTTGAAATGAGAATTTGCTATTTTTTTCCTATGGAACTATCAGGTTATCAACTGTGGTGATTTCCCAAGATCAAGAGAGGAAATAAGGTAAATTAATTGATCAACATGAGGTAAGGAGAATGCAGGAATTGATTCCATACTTGCTACTGGATCCACAAGTGGTAAATCAGAACCATGAACCTCTTCTGTAACCAACCTCTGCCAATCAGCCATGAAATGATGATCAATCTACAAAAAGGCATGGTACATTGTAGGATAATGTGTTAACTTACAATTTTGGAAGGTAAAGGAATTTTGATTCAGGTTTAAGGGAAATCATTGCACCTACCACTCTTTGAAAGTCTCTTATGGTGAGTTTTTTGCTCCCAGCAAGCAAAACTTCCTCAATCTCTTTGGTCTAATTAGGCAAAAAGAGTGAAAATCTCATAATCACCATTCTTGTATGCATTTAACCTTAAATAAAACTAGGACATATAAGTCTTACATTTCTGCACACTAAGATTTCATCTCTCAACAACAGCAGCATGACAGCAGAGAATGTCGCAATACAGTTGAAGGAAGGAAGTTTCATACTCAGAATGAACTGGTCCCAAATGTAGCAAACCACATCAAGGGAAAGAAACCCTGAAAAATACAAGTATAGCAATGTGATTTTTCCAAGATATGAGAAAAAAATCAGTTTAAAATGTGAAGTCTTCTGAGTCTTTTAACCAATTATTTCCAGAGTTTATTGCTTTTTCAAGAGAAAGAGATAAGAAGGAGTATAGCTACTCCATCTGATGGGATATTAATGTCCATCACACCTCACTCTTGGGTAGAAAGAAGCAATGTGAAAGTTAACCCTTTAACCCTATGAGTGACTGGCTTCTTATTTATCCTTACAGTATCATGCTTGAATCAAGTTTTAAGGTCACAAAAACAAAAGAAACGATGAGGAGAACAGTGTAGAATAGATGAATACTATTTTTAGTTTAATGGGTTAAGTGTCCTATCCAATCAGTGTTACTTTTGGATGCCTACGATCAAGACTTAAACACATTGAGATCAGTTTTAGTCAAATCTTACCAACAAACATGCACCTTGCATATGACCTCATGATTGCTGCCAGACTTTCTGCCAACTGAGTTGTCTGGTCTGTTCAAAAAGAATTACAGTGTGTTTACACATTATAAACAAGAATCAGTAAATTGAACTTGTGTAGTCCATGTCCACCTCACACAAAGCCTACATAATAGCAACACTAAAAGATGTTAGCCTCAAAAATAGTACCATCCTAGATAGTCATACAGGGTTGAACTTCCTCTTGTATAATGAGGTACCAGTTGAGAACTCATAATTTGCTGAAAAATTAGGTGCATGACCAGGGGAATGCCACAAATTTTTCACACAGGCTGATATTTGGGTATTCATCTCTATCAACAACTGCCTTACCATGTGAAAATATTCTCTGCAGAGTTAATGCAAGCTGCTGATCTTTGGAATTCAAGTAGTCAGCCATTTTACTACCAAACTGTTTTTGTGCTAACAGGAATTCCTATGGAAAACAGAGGAAAAATGACTTTTTTACACTAAACAGAAATTTCAATGCCCATACATACAGATATCTCAGAGCAATAAAGCTGCAAAGGAATTCTTGCTTTCTTTAGCAGAAAAATAACCTTAGATTTGGAGTCCTTCATTAAAGATGGTCTTGAATCCAAGAAGGTAAAGTAAACTTCAACAAAGCTTGCAATTTCCTCAGCATTTATCAGTTGAACATGAGTGTCTGCAACCATTACTTTCACAAAAGGTATGGCCAACAAGAAGTCTGTGTCAACTATCGTTGATGTGCTACTAACTTTCACGTCCCGGTAGGATATTGAAGTTTTCATGATATTCAACAAAGCTGGATAAGATTCAAGCCTAAAATGACTTGATTCTGAGGACAAGAAAGCTTTGCACTTTTGTCCAATGGCTGCATCGTGTCGTGAAACAGTGTCTTGTTTGTTTCTCGAAACCTTTTCTAAATATTCTTTTCGAACGATCGGATTCGCTAGAAACCAATTCCATACTGCCCTTCGCAACTCTGTCGGTAAAGGACGATTCAAACAAGCAAACAATTTGGTTTTAAGATCCGGCCACCTTTGCAACAAACTAATGGACGCTTTCGAGGATTCTTGAAGAAGAAGTTCTGCTTTTGTACGTGTATTCGATGCATCGATAATCGTTTGGGTAACTTCTTCATTTAGATTTCGATCAAGAGTTTCCGAAACTGTTGCCATCAGCTTTTGATACGAAGAGCTGTCACGAACAAGCTTACCAGCACGATCAAGAAACATGACTTTCTCTGAATCTGTGAGATCGGAAAAGTAAGACACGTGGTTTTCTGTAAGCTGGTGTTGCACTGCATCGAAAAGCTCTGATGTTAAATCCTTCCACTCAATAGATCTTGTGATATCGTCTTTAGAGAGCAGTAACCATGCAGGTAGATTTGTTTTTGTGGACGCCATGTTTAGTGAGCGGTTACCTGAGAAGCGCGCCTAATGTTTAGCTTGTCAGCGGATTCCAAAACTGGCGCCATTTTGAATTTTGTTTCTTTTTTTTCGGACATGTTAAACATTCCTTAGTAAGACAAGGAAAATGGTTCATTAGTAAGAACTAAATGGATCTTAGGAAAGAAATGGAGACGATTTATCCAAGGAGAAGCATATCCTGGTCGCAAAAATGACAAAATCTTCATAGCTGTGTTTGAAGATGCGTTGTGTTATTCCAGGCAGATCAGTGAAATGTGTGTTCACTTTTAGATCGAAGCTTAACTTATCTATGACTTTAAGATTTCGTTCGCTCTCTCAACACGTTTTTGTGTGTGTTTCAGTGTTTGCGAAGGCAATCCATTGTTTATCCAAGATTGGTAATGAGCTGTATTTGGAGGCTCTGTCAGAAGGGGTGAGTTAAAAAAATCATGTGATAGTCCGAAAGTTCTCAGATACAGTAATAATTGCAGGTACGTTGGCAAGATTTTTCAAGAGGGGTGAGGGATCCCAGGAAACATCTCAACAGAAGCAAACAAGGAAGGTTTTTTCATTGTGTGCAGCGAAGGGGGGTAGTGGGAAATAAGCCCTTCAGGACTCACCCCCCTGACATTGAGTCGCTGAGGAAAGGAGAGCAAGGGAACAGTGAGAGTCAATAGGAATTTACTTGGGTCCCCTCCCCCCTTCCATTCCATAGGATAAAATTGGTTATGATGATAAGACTAAAGATGGATAATTACTCTTTACTTACTCTCACTTCTCTCTATAACAGCTTGCGCTAAGGACAGTCAGCTCATCTCGCTCAGCATATGCTTGCTTTCTCTTCAATGAGAGCTTTTTTATTAGTTATGATGATGGATCAGATGAATCAGCAGGGGATTCAGAGGAAGAGGATTTATTAAGATGCAAGATTGCCATGAAGGTCAGGGGAATGTTTGGTTTACATGACTGTATTTATTACCACTGCTCAACAGTTTCAAGACCAAGTCTGACTCAGCATAGAATGCAGTAAATAACTTAATTTTGAGAAATGTTACAGGTGTGTAGCATGCACTAGGTTCAAGAGGCATTTCTTTCAACAGACCTCTAGTATTTTACTGCACAGAGAAAAAACAAAGCAGAACAGAAAACAAAAACAAATTGAAAGAAGACATTGTCCAAGTAGCACAAGTTGATTGTAATATTTCTTAAAGTAAACTGATATTTGTTCAAGGACCAAAAGTTGATTGTAATATTCCTAGATGTAAACTCATGTCTTTGCGCAGAAGGTTCCAGAGAATAACACTTAGAGGGACAACACCTCTACCTTCCCAGTGCTATAAAACCCAGTGTACAGTGTAGAGCCTTAAGTGACCTTTTTTTTGCATTTTTATTTACAGTCATGCCTGTCAGCTTTTAAATCCATGAACACAATTGAGAAAACAGTGGATCAGTGCAAAATAGATCTGAATGTCAGGGAGGCTAGGCTGGTTTTTCTGTTCTACTGCAGACATGGTAAACTTAAGTAAACTTCACTCAGTCTTACTTACAATGTAAGTCTGTAGGAGGTCCACACAGAAAAAAAGTTGTCCAATGTCTATAGAATGAAGAAACTTTTTTAAAGAGTATTTAAATCACCTCGAATGAAATATTTGTACATCTTAGTTTGCTCTTCTTTAGCATTTTGTAAGGAATCCCAGACAGTTTGGTGAACACATTCTCTCTCCAAGGCAGAAGACATTCTGTTGGAGTAAAATATCTTATATGATGGCTGCCAGGAAGGAAACATTGTAAAAGTTTTGGAGGCCATATTACCACAGTTGCAATTATTCCAACATAACAGGATTATTTATTTTTGGGTTTTGAACTTGTTTTTTTTTCCTTTTCAACAATTGGCCTAAAAATTAGACACAAAAAGTTGCTGCAGTTTTACAAATGTAAGTCTTAATTCAATCTTGAGGTACACTAATTGTCAACTCATATAAATTTTTTTTAATGTTTTTTTTATTTTTCTTTCTTTGAATTCTTACAGGCATTACAAAGACTTACAACTTGACATTTCTAGAGTGCGAAACCTTGCAAGCTGTGTTTGCAAAAGACTTGTGTCCAAATTTTATGACAACTCAAGCCAAGTAAGAAAAGTTTGAATGCCTTTTTTCATCAGTCTTCCAAATTGCCGTGGTGAAATCTGATGTTCAAAGCTCCTACAAGGCAGATTCTCAAGGGAAACTCATGATTAAGTATCCTCGGCTAGCTTTGGATTTTTACAAGAATTTGTAAATTTTACATGGTGTTTGTTTGCACTTTTATAAAAATCAGTTTTTTCTTGCAGAACATTTGTAGAGCTTTCTGTATCAGTGAGCCTTTAAGGAGAGTTCCAATTATAACATGATATTTCCTACTTTTCACAGAATTCTCAATGATGCAGTGGTTAACTTTCCAAACAACCAAGAAGAAATAACTCTTGTTGTCAGTCCTGAGACCTTAAAAGTCAAGAACTATGTGGATGATGAGCCTGGTAAGAGAAAAAAAAAGCAAAAGTGACTGTTATTTGATAGTTAGAAAGTCACAGTGGCAAAAAAATAAACTATTTATAGGTAGCTGAACAGATGGGTATCTCATGAGCCTTGTCAGTGTGAGCAAACCTTATTTTGATCAGTTAAAAATACAGTGACTTCAATTTCATCCCCAACTGAATTAGTAAGAAGTAACTGTAGGTTCTTGAGAGTCTTTGAAACTATATCTGATATTGCTTGGTAGTCTAAATGGTGTCAGAAAACAGTCAACTCCCATTATTGCAGACACCCACAGGGGGAGATTTAGTGTCCCTTGTAACAAGAGTCAGTAATTGCAGGGTATGAGAGAAAAAAGTATTGTTTTGTCTCTAAAAATATGAAATGACATGTAACTACCCAGACATTAAGTTTCTAATGTGGCCTCACAAACAGGAAAAAGGTCTGGCCACAAGCTGGAAATTCTCATGCTTGCATCCAATTGAAGAATGGTTTCTTTATTTTCCTTTATTGTAATGTTGCTTTATATATATTATGTGAGTCAGGATTTTGGACAAAATGTATGCTATAGCCAGGGGAAAAAAATTGAATGTTGCACCTGGGAGGGGCCGGGGGGTGTGTGTGCATTGCAAGTGTCTGCATTGTGGTAGGGTGTATTAGTGAGCATCCATAATAATAGGAGTTTATTGCAATCATTTCTTTATGGGTTTTGCCAGGGGGCTGGCTATTTTCTACAATGGCAGGGCGTCCATAACCATAATAGCAAGGTGTCTGCAGAACGAGAGTCCACTGTACATATGCATGGAAACATGTATCCACTGTGAATCCTAGAATTTCACTCTAGCATGTGTTAAAAATATCAATTATTTCTTGGCTTCTATTTTGGAGGCTTACAATCATTGTCACTATTGTGGTATAGTCAGTGCTAAATGTGTCCTCTTTTCTTATAGAACCAAATCGAGTCATTCACACAGAAATGATGCTAGCTCCAGAAGAGTTTGATAACTATCAAATTGGAGTTGATACAGAGGTTACATTTTGTCTCAAGGAGCTAAGGGTAAGTATACAACTAACCATAAAAATTTAATGACAGAAGCTAAAATTAATTTTGATTAGATTTATTTAGACAAGAATTAACACTGCTATCTTCACAATGAAAAAGGTGAAAAGTTCTCTGAGAATATTTAGTTGATCAAATCTGCTTATCATTGATGTCAATTTTCATAGCCAGCATTTTTACCTTTCTGTATTGCAGGCTATTTTAACATTTGCTGAGTTCTCAAGTCAACCAATAAATATGCATTTTGAAACCAGTGGAAGGTTAGTATATCACCAAATATCTACAACTATATAAAAGCAGATTATGAACAGTTGAGGGAGAAAGAAGAGTGCTACTTAAAAATCAAACAGGAAAAATTGTTAATTTGGGTCCAAGTGTATAACCCAGAAATCTGTTTTCCTGCATAAAATACAATAAAAATACAAAGAAGCAATAAGTTGCACTTTTCACACCAGAGAGTCACTATTGCATTTTGTACCAAAAAACTTTTCACTAGATTGTATATTTCCAACCCAAAAGGACTTCTTGCCTAACCCTCAACTTTGAAAAGTCAGAGTATTCCCTGAGCTGCAGATTATAAGGAGTTATCATTGACATGAAATTTTCTTCAGACCCATAGTGTTCAGTATGGATGGAGACTCAACTTATGAAGCTGACTTTGTGCTGGCAACTTTAATTGATCACCAGTCTTCCACCCAGTCATCTCAAGCATCTGTCACAGCAGCACCCAGCACATCTGCTAAAAAAGTTCCAAAAGATAGGAATGTCAAATGGTGAGAAAGTTAAATATTAAATACATAGTCACTCATAAGATCTGACAAACCACTCATTCTGTGCAGGTTATGTCAAGAGTTGAGTAAGTTTAAACAAAATTTTAAGATTAAACATTTTCACTCTCATCTTTGAAGGCTAGCCTTGTTCAATAGTGATCAAAAAATTTATTTGTAAAGGTTGAATTTTTTTTTTGATTGTGCTGATTAGCTCTGCAAAGACAGATCCAACAACAAACCCTGACCAAGTTAAACAGAAAGTGGGTGCCAGTTCACATATCAAGACTGCACAGAACTCCCAGACTAACAATCACTACAATGACATCGAACAAAATGACTCCCTGTTTAATGAAGAAAATAATGATGGTGATATGGACATGACAGAGGTTGATAAAGTCTTGCTCAAAGAGAAAACTCCAGGGCCATCTCAAAATAGTGAAGGGAAAACTAATAATAAGAAAAGTCAGAGCAATTCTGGGAATACTGCAGAGGAGACAAGCCAAAGGTACTTGATTGTCATACTGTGTGAATATTGTGTGTATTATAACTTTATCATATGACTGTATTTGTAAGTATGTGTGAAGAGCCCTTGGTTCTCTTCAGTGGTAGACGAATGATGATTTTAATTTCAATAGTTGTGCCTCACAAGTGTCATTT